AGGGGGAGGGGAGAGAGAGAGAGAGAGAGAGAGAAAGAGAGAGAAAGAGAGAGAAAGAGAGCGACACGGCGTAGACACGCCACACGCCGCGGCCCCATGCCGAGTGGAGTGCACCTTGCCCTTCCGAGTGCACATAACAGTGCCGGCACGTCCTCCTGCCCGGACAATTCAATTCCTTATTCACAGCGAATCGTCGGTAACTCGGAGCCAGGGTCGTGAAGTGACGAATTCCGCGTCCAAACTCTCCGCCCGCTCCGCCGCGCGTCCAGCAGCGCGTTATGTCCGCGTTTGTATTCCCCCCCCGGACTCGCCCCTCTCTCTCGCACTGGCGGGGCCCTCCGCAGCGGTGCGAGAGAGACGGAGCGGGCCATAAATCCGTCCCTGACCCGCTCGAGGCACTCCGCGAGCACTCGGCCACTTTCGGGGCGTAAACATTTACGTCGCGGTGCTTGGCGGTGCTTGGGATGCACTGTGCCCCGCAGCTGCGGAATCGATTGGGGACGTGTCGGCCCGCCGGGGCCTCCGTCTCTCTCGCACTCACGGGGCGTGCCGTAAGGCCGTAAGGGTGCGAGAGAGACAGAGCGACTGCCGGCATGGTCGGCATGCCGCGCCAGCAGCAATCATGGCGAAAACAGAGGCAGGGGCTTCCTGCGACCTTCCTCGTTGCACCGCGGAGCACTGCACGCCAACACGCGTGTTTGAACAATGGGCGCTGCTTTTGCAAGTGCAGCGCACAGCGCCGCACCGCGCAGCGCCAACGTTTGCAAAAGCCTGCTGTGGGACCGCCGGCCCGCCGGCCCGGCCCCAGCCAGCACCGCACCAGGCTCTCCGGCTCCAGCTCGTTGCGAGCGGTCTCCTGTCTCTCTCGCACTCACGCGGCGTTCCACCTGAGAGCGAGAGAGAGAAACGCAGCCGCATTGTTCGGAATCAGACCCCTGGGAATGGATTCCTCCAATAAGCTTCCCTGGTCACAATATTAAATTCCGTCCACGACCCACGGCCGCCTGGAGCGCCCCGCGCGCCCCGCCTTCGAGTTGTCTACCTCCACCGCGCGGCAGCGGCGGCCACCCCCTGGAGACGCCGCCCCACAGTGGGCCAGAAGCCGGTGGAGGCGGCCAAAACTCTAGACGCGTTTTGAGCGGTTTTGGAGCTCCAGAGTCGCTAAATGGGACTCGAACCGAACGTGTGACCCCACCAATGGATTGCTCTCCGAACGAGGAATCCATTGGTGGGGTCACACGTCCGGTTCGAGTCCCATTTAGCGACTCTGGAGCTCAAAACGCGTCTAGAGTTTTGGCCGCCTCCACCGGCTTCTGGCCCACTGTGCGCCCCGGCCGAGGCCCGGACGCCCCGCCCCCCGGACATAAACGGATCTCGGGCCGGGGCCGCGGGGGCGTCGCCAGGGCGGCCAAGCAAGGAAGGAGAAAATAACAGACCAGTGAAAAATAGGGGAGGCCCGGTATTCGAACCCGGGACCGCCAGGGCCGGCCAGGGGGCGGCGACCCAGCGCCATCGCTCACCCCGACCGGGGACGCTGCAAATGACTCGGCCGCTGTCACGGCGTCCTTTCCAATTACGCGCGCCTAGGCGACGTCCACCACGTCCACGACGACCGCCCGCGGCGCGGCCCGGGTTCGACTCCCAGCGGCAACCGTTCCATTCCCCCTTTCCCTTCCCCTCCCTACAGTGTGCCGGGCCGCGCGCCACGCCGGTGCTACGTGACCGCGCAAGCGATCGCGGCATCGCGGCTTCGCGGCGTCAGCTGCCCGGCGCCGCGGACCGAAACAGCATCCGCGCCTAGAGGAACGCGGACCAGGAGGAGCGGCCCCGGAGAGCGGGGAACCGAACGGTGTTGCAGAGGCGAGCCGACGAAGCGGTGAAGCGGCCAAGCAGACCGGGTCGCCGGAAAAGGGGGATTCCCCAAAAGGGTCGCCCCCCCAAACCGGGGTAACAAATTCCCCCGGGAACGCTTCGGGCCTCCCCGGGGTTTGCCTATTCTCCTTTTGCAACGGCGTCCCGAAAACCCCCCCGACCCGGGCAAGGCCGCATTCTCAAACCCCTCAACCCTAAAATTTAAAAGGTTTTTCCCCCAAATTGGTATTCACCAACGAAACAAAAAACCGCCCCAAAAAATTCCGGGGAAACCGCCACTGAATTTTAAAAGGAAGTGGTTCTTACCACCAACCCCATCAAAATCCCCCAAGGCCATTACCCGTTCCCTTTCCTTCCAGCCATTCGGAACCCCCTTCAGGGAACAGACCCACTTCCCCGGGAAATTGGTCGCCCGGAGGGGCCGGCAGGCCCGGGGCGCCTTCCCGGGGGGGTTTCCCCGCCGGGGGCCCGCCCGGGCCCGCCAGGGGGCACAGGGGGAGGACCGGGGAGGCCCAAAGGCCGTTTTGACCCCCCCAGGGGGTCCCCTAAACGGGAACCCGAAACCGAACCGGGGTGACCCCACCAATGGACCCTTCTTCCTGGCCGGGGAAACAATCCGGGGGGTCACCCCCGTTCGGTTTTTGAGCCCCTTTGGCACCCCTGGGTCAAAAAACGTTTTTTGAGTTTTTGCCGGGATCCCCGTCTTCCGGCCCCCCGGGGCCCGCCGGGCCCCACAGGGGGAAAAGGCGGTGGACGGGCCGTTTGCCCTTTTTGGGCCCGGGCCCCTCCGGGGGCCGAACCCCGGTTACCCCACCCTGGGCCCCTGGGCCGGGGCCAACCACGGGGGCCCCACCCAATTTTTTACAACCTTTTGGGGAAAAGGCTTTTTCCCCTTACGGCCGGGGCCCCCCCGGGGGGGCCGCGGGCCCACCGCCCCGGGCCGGCCCCCGTTGGGGGGCCCCTTCCCCCCCCGCCCCGCCCCGCCCCCGCCCCGGGGCCCCCCCCCCCGCCCCGCCCCCCTTCAACCCGGTTTGGGGAAAACTTTCCCCCAAACAGCCGTGGTTTTGGGTGGGCCCCGGCCCCCGGCCGGCCCCGGCCCGGGCCTGTTGGGGGAGCCCCCGGGGCCCCCCCCGGCCCGGGGCCCCCCCCCGCCCCCCCCCGCCCCTCGCTTGCCTCCGCACCGCGCTTTGGGGCCGAGGGGCGCCGGGGGGTGGAAGGGGGAGAAGGGCGCCCTCGAAGGGAAACACGAAACCCCCCCGTGTTGCCCTGCACTCCGTTTGGGGGGGGCCCGGGGCCTCCCGCCTTTATTGCAGGGCCCCCGTTTTAATGAAGAGGCGGGCGTCGTTAACCTGCAGTGTGGCAGTGCGGGTCCGGCCAGTCACCCCGTCTCTCTCGCACCCCCGCGGCCGGCGGCAGCCCTGCGGGCGCCGGCGGCGTGCGACAGAGACGGGGCGACCAAATGAACGCCGTTTCGGAAGCGGCCCGCTGGCCGTCACACGACGGACACTCCGCAAGAGATTGCCTCCGGTATTGGCGCGGCCACGGCGCGGCCACGGCGCGGCCCACGGCGGCCCTGGTCCTGTCCGTCTCCCTCGCACCGCTGCGGGGCGCCGCACGAGTGCGAGAGAGACGGGGCGACGACGGCCGCCCTGGCCCCGATACAGCATTGCATGCGGCGCCCTGATTGGTTCTAGTGCGGACACGCGATCTTCCGGCAGGACGGCATGGCAGGCCGGCAGGCCGCACGCAGGGCTCTGGGAGCGGACCGGCGGCACGGCCTCGGTGACGCAGACACGGAGGCCGCAGGGTCGCCCGGAGGACGAAGGACCTCGCCGACGTACAGTGGATTTGCCAGGCCAGAAGACCGGCGCCGGCGGCCAAAACTCTAGACGTGATTTGAGCTCCAGAGTCGCTAAATGGCACTCGAACCGAACGTGTGACCCCACCAATGGATTCCTCATTCGAAGAGCAACCCATAGGTGGGGTCACACGTTCGCTTCGAGTCCCATTTAGCGACTCTGGAGCTCAAAACGCGTCCGGGATTTTGACCGCCTCCACCGGTCTTCTAGCCCACTGTGCGTCGGCCGAGCGGTTCAGAAGAGTCGCTCCGTCGCTCCGTCTCTGTCGCACTCATGCTGCACTCCATAATGGTGCGAGAGAGACAGAGCGACGAAACGCTCTTCTGAAGGACGCCGCGGTGGTAGGCAACCCATCGTGCGTCAAGTCGCCGCTTCGCTTCGCGTCTTCGCCGCCGGTCATCGGTTCGCGTCACGACGAGTCACGGCGCACGACACACATCACGCTACGGTACTCGGACGGAACACGCACACACGCGCACACGCACGCACGCACACCCACACACGTACACGGCCACGCACTCACGTACGACGCACAATCCCAAACCATTCATCGCTCGCCGCCCGCGGGGTACACAGCGAGGAAAAAAACGACAACATGGCATTTCTTTTAGGAAAAAAAAAAGGAACGTGTCGATCGGTAACACCAAAGGTGTAGAGACAGTCTCACCCAGAGTAAACAGAAAAGTGCCAATGGCAGTGTCAGACCACTTCACTAGCAAAGCACACCCTTTCAGAAGAAAAATTACGATTTTCAAGGTTTTATATGAATGACCAGCCAGTAAAAGAGAACTGTACTCCAACAAAAATTAGACAATCAAATTGAGTAAGCATTCTGGCACAGAGATATTGATCTTGCAATGTAGTAAAGTAATCTAAAAGACTTATTGCTGACTCGACACTACTGACCTACTGACAAAAACAGGCTACTTTGAGGGTCATTTGGTGAGTCACTCCAAATTTCAAACAGCTGATAAGTTTGTAGTAAAAATAGATCCATCACAAAGTTAATTGACAGAGAGAAAACTTTTAAAAAAATGAAGATGATGGGTTTGTTTACATTGCGTATTGAGTTCAGGCTCAAATTACAACAGAAAATCGCAGAATCCTCAGGACAACTCCCCCCCAACAGTGTCACTGGCACATGAACATGATGTGAAAGGGTGAGCAATCAACATGGGCAGTCAACTCGAAGCACGCAGTCACAACTTGACAGAAGTTAATTGGGTTATGATTCCCGTTTCGGGAACAAAATCGTCGACAGCGACTTACCGTGACAGAAGTGGAACGGGGCGGTGAGGGCGGGGGCCGCAACGCCCTCTCGACCGTCGGAACGGGAACGGCGACGGGAACAAACCCGGCACAAACAGATCCAGCGGTAAATACGAATTAAATTTTAACACCGAAGCGACCAACCAAACCAGCGCAGCGAACAGCGAGAACCCGACTGACGGCCGCCGTGTGTATGTGTTGCTATGCAGGCTGGGCAAGAGCCTCACGACAACAAACTTCTCCGCATTTGGCTTTCCGCGTCTCGTGCCCGTACGGTAACGCTTCCGGTCCACCGAGGACTTCCCTCGACGAGGCGAACGATACGGAAGTGAAGCCCGAGCGCCCTCCGGCCGCTTAGGGCCACTTCTGTTTACTTCAAACGGGTAAATTTACAGGAAAACTAGTTCCGGTGGCGATAATGACCGAGGGAAGTTCATACCAACATAGGACCCCCTTCCAGTGTCTCTTCCACTCTTTTAAGCCACAGTTCGTCGAGTGTTTCAACAATAAAAAGACTATCTGTGTCATTTTATACAAATTTATCATTTAATACAAGATTTACAGAAACTGCACGTTACAGTTAAAATCTTTGGTAATTACTGCTAGTTGGTCATACTGCGGTCTTGTCGTAAATGGTGAGGTGTTGCCAACCGTGGGTCGTGACAGTTTCAGATTTAACCACCTTTAGTACCGTCCGCCTAGCGATTCCCAAGTAATCGCGCTGAATCGTAAGGGAGCGATTGCGTCGAGAAATCCTGTTGCATCAGACATGCAAAAAACATCAACATATCTCGTCAAGTTGTTGGCAGTGGCCGATAGCAGCGCTCTTGCGTCCATTTACGGAAACAGCGAAAAAAACAAAAAACAGACAATGTGATGTGAGAGTTGCCTTTTCTAGGGGCTTTCTTGTGGTGTTGTTCATACGAAGTGGATATTTACGCCCTCTGCTGTAGTTCTACTGCAGAGAATTAGTTCCGACCATTGATAATGGGGTCTCTGACCAGCAGACCGAGTGCTGGTGTTGAGGAGGTGGATATAGCTTCTAATCATGCCTACAAATACCCACCAAGATCCGGTAGGTTAACCTGCTCGTTGTATTTCATTGTTGTATTCCTTGACAGAACGTCATCCTTTCTGACCTGAACACCTCTCCCTTTTGTCCTCATCTTCTCTGTTCAAATGCCAGTCAAACTTTGATAGTAAATGAAAGCATTTTATGTTTGACATCAAGTAGTCTTTCTTCTTTTATTTTCCCTTTGACTTAAATTTAGAATTTCTTGTTTTTCTATTATTTCTTTTAGACATTTAGACCTTTTGATTCAGTAGTTGTGCATTCTTTTGTTGAATGACGTTCATTGTTACAGGCAATTATTTTGGCAGTCATTTTATCATGGGAGGAGAACGATTTGATACACCGCAGCCAGAAGCTTACCTGTTTGGCGAAAATGCAGATTTAAATTTTCTTGGGAACCGTCCGACTGCTGTGAGTACTTTTAACTGAATTTTGTTGTATTGCTTTATCTGCTTTGTTGTTGCCTACTTTTTCTCGTTTCCTCAGTAAGTGATTGACTGTGGTATAACATGTCATCTATTTTTCCCGCAGTTTCCCTACCCTCCTCCCCAGGGCAATGAACCCACTAAGACTCTGAAGAGCCTCGTGAATATTCGCAAAGAATCTCTTCGCTTCGTGCGTTGTCAAGAGGCTGTCAGCAAAAGTGCTGAAGTGGGTGAAAATGAACCAATCCCTAAGTGCACCCAGTTTAATATCGAATTTACTTTTGACTGTGATGCAAGATGTGGGATCACTATCTATTATTTCTGTACTGAGGAAATAACTGCTGATGGAGTGATGTATGCAAATTACAAGCTTTCCACTGTTTGCACTTCTTTTTTTCTTAAATTTTATGTTTAACCCTTCTTTTTTTACAGTTACACCCCTAAAGACCTATCAATGAATTCTGAAACTTACCACTACAAGAGAGGTGCCAATCAACAGTTTTCACAGGTTTCGCATGTGTTTGACCCAAGCCGGTATAACGATGATGAATTGGTTTATAATTTAGAAAAGGAAACAATACCAATAGCCATTCATTGCGTTGTTGAGGAAGGAATTGAAGGTATGCCACTTACTGCTTTCAGAATATTATCTTTTAGGAAAGGTAATGAAAGATTCCCTAATGGTAAATATTTTTATTTCTTTTCCAGAACCTAAGCAATCTCATACCACAATTGCAGTGATTGATAGACATTCAGATGGTACATATGTTTTGAAAGCACTAAAACAGAAACTTTTTGTTGATGGACTGTGCTACCTTCTGCAAGAAGTGTATGGTATTGAAAATAAAAATAATGACAACAATAAGGTAAAATATTTTCTGTTTACAAGGTGTTTCTCTTTCACTCTTTTATCAATCATGCAAAAGATGTCCTAACTTATTTGTTCGTATCTTTAGGCAACTGCTGATGATGATACTGAGGACAATGGATCTGAATGTGTGATATGCATGTGTGATGTCAGAGATACCTTGATTCTTCCTTGTCGGCATCTGTGTCTTTGCAATTCCTGTGCTGACTCGCTCCGCTACCAAGCAAATAATTGTCCCATATGTCGTGCTCCCTTCCGAGCATTACTACAAATTAAAGCCCTGCAGAAGTCTACAGCAAATGGTATATTGCAGCCAGTCCCTGCTGAGGTAAGGTTTCTAACTTTCTCTTTTCTCACATCAGTCACTGAGATGTTTGTTATTTTAATTTTATCTTACTTGCACTTAATTGTTTGTTTACATTCTTCAGGGAAACCTTGACAACATTCCACCTGGTTATGAAGCAGTATCATTAATAGAGGCCTTGAATGGTCCTTACACAGTCAGATCAATTCCTCCCGTAACCTCTCAAGATCTGTCTCTGCCGGACCTTCCAGATGTGGATGGTGCCGCCCAGGCAGCTGAAATTCTCAATAGGTATTTCATGCCTGAAGACTCAAAGTTGCAATTTAACTGAGTTGTGTAAGGACCCCTTTATTGTTATTAATTAATTTACAGGACAAACTTGGAAAACACCCCCAAGTCTCTTAAACAGCACAGTTCCTTAGAAGATGATGGAGCCAAGGGAACAACTCGGCAAAGTTCAGATTCTAGATCCTGTCCAACTCCTGAGGTATGCAGTGCTTGATATAGGTTTAATAAACTAATTTTACAATTTTTGATAATTATAATTTATTATTTCAGTTCCGCATGTCAGTACTTCTGGCCCGTGAGATGGATAGTATCAAGGAGCAAAGCAAGTCACCCAGGTCGGGCCGACACAGTTCACGTGCTGGATCCCGAGACAAGAGTGCACTTCGGCCTCGAGATACAATTCGACACATAAACGAGAAAGCTGCAGCCGCTGCAGCAGTGGCAGCAATGGACACAGATGAGGTTGGTTTCTTCCAATATGTTCTGTACCATCAGGTCCTGCTCAATCTGAAAGTTGTTTAATCCCTCTTCGTTTCGATTTCAACAGTGTCAAGACGAGGACAGCGAAGCAGAAAAGCTCTCCCCTTTATTAGATGCAGCCACCAGTACTGACCCCTCACCACAGGATTCTCCTGCTGTGTGTGTCTCTGCCACTGTTGATATTGAGGAAGTGGAGGATTGTTCGGATGATCTTGATATCAAAGTTGACGGCTATGCTGCTGCATTTGCAGCACCTACTCCTATAACTGCCTCTCAATGTAAGTTGTTCTTCCCTTTTCATCCATTTAAAAAATTCCAAAGGTGTATTATACAAAGTGATTTATTGTTTGACGTAGGTCGAAACAATGTGATCAGAAATGGACCTGCCTCTGAGGGTGACTGTGGAGGTCTGGTAGTTACTGGGGATGACTCTGATTATTATACTCCGGAGGATCCAGCCACCACTATTCTCAGTCCCTTACATAGTGAGAAGGTCAGTAAATAGTTAATGCAGCGCATATCAGTTCATTTCTCTCTACAATTTTCATAGCAGATGCTGTTGTGAGACACAAGCCTTTCAACTTTATCACCATTTACAGGAACGAGCTTTGTCGGCCGTTTCATGCAACACTGTCCCGTCATCTGTGGAGAGCACCCCTGGAAGATGGATCGGATCCCGAGAAGGACACCTGGCTGGCATAGGTTCCCTCCCTGGGACACCGCTCTCATCAGCGTCTCACTTCAGCAACCGTAGCAGCAATGACAGCTACAGCAGCAGCAGCAGTACACGTCAGCTACTGGCCAGCAATGGTGGGGATGCAGTGCCCCCGTCGCAAGAAAAGACGGTGCCCCTTTGAGAAATGTGGACTGTCCTGCCAGGACAGGACAGAGCTCTGCGCTCTGTCTTGTCCCGGCGGGGCAGGACTTCTGGGTCTGCTTTGCCGGGTCAGGACAAAGCAGTTCAACTTTGAAGACCCTAGTTGTCATCGACCCAGAGTTATTTCTGATTCGCATTTAGGAGTGTGTGAAGGCTCTCTATTGCATTTAAATATCTTATGAACTTTACAAATGTGATAAGTTAAAACTGAGGGAAATTCTTCTGTATGTTGCCCTTTTATTATATTATTTTATAATTATTATCTCTACAATTAGTATTATTTTAAGTATTAATATTATGGAGCTGTCATTTTGTAGCTGTGACTTAGCTATGCTTAAAAAACATTTCATCACACAGGTGGTGGTTGTTCTATTCTTACAGCCATTATTTTTAAATGGTATACCGGTATTATTAATTTCTTTTATACATGTATCTTAGGGAGAAGGAGTTTCAAAACAATTTATTTTCCTTCATTCTTTTGGTTATGCATTACACCTGTCCTTCCCTCTTTGTACTTTATTTAGCAATTTCATTTATAGCTTATTTTCAAGATTTTCTAAGGGGCCACTCTGAAAGTGACCACTCTTTCTAGTCAATTTTAAAATCATGTTGAGAGCGCCTTCTCAGTTTTTTTAAGTAATCTTCTCTGCCTCAATGTTCTATTTTAGCCCTGATCACCGTCTGTACTTGTATTTGGTATACCTACCACTAATAGTGTTTTTTTTTCTTCTTTTTTTGTTGTTGGAGGAAATGGAACTCTTAAAGGGAAAGGAAAGGATCATTTTTTCCATATTCCTATCGTTTTCACAATATTTTCGAGTCTTCCTCATTTGTGTTGGCTTTAAATATTAGCAATACTTTTTTATGCTGATACCTTTTTTTTGTAACTGTCGGTAGAATTTGTGCTCAAGCTAAAATGTGTAAATCGATCGGTGGTGGAATAGAAGGCCAACTGATCACTCAAGATGCATACAAGTGGGAATTTTAAGGTGAAGGGAAATGTGATATGTGAAGTGGCAAGAAAAGTTGAGGGTGTGACAATCCTATCTCCTTGTTTTGCTTCAGTAATATTCAAGCTTTCTAGGAAAATAATTGTGTCCCATACATATTCAATACCATTTTAGTTACTCTCTGTATCAGTATTACGCGTTAAAATTTAACAAAAGCATCTTGATTCCCTTGTTTTATTGACATGTATTACAATCGAGCCTTTGAGCAAAAGGTTACAAGCCCTCTTTGTAGCCAAGGAAAAGCAGACTGAATATGACTTTTTGTGTAAATTAGTGTATGTTTGTTTTTATTGCAATTAAATGAAATTTAATTTTGTTGACAAACTGTGGTGAATTGATTGTAGCCTCTTGAATCTTACAGTCACTGTGAATGAATGAAACAGTAGCACAATCACAATCCCATTTCCATCAAGCGACCGTGGAACACTCCGACCGTGCTTCCGTGCACCAGTGTACCGGCGGCACCGCCGTCACTGCCGCACTGGGCCGTACTGCTTCACAGGTGGGGGAGGGGAGGGATCCGCGTAGATCCGCGACACAGCCACGGGGAATACACGCTCGGCATCTCTCTCGCTCCCCGCCCACCCCGGCATGGAGAGCGACAGAGACGCCGAATGAAAAGACTCGAGTGTGGTGGGGAGTAGGGCAGTCCGGGCCAACGCGCGGCGTGGGGAACCAAGGGGAACAGACCAGACACGGGCTGGCCGGGGCTGCCGGGACGGCGACGGCCCCTCGGAGCTGCGGCCAACGGCCTTGCCGGCTAGGAGCCCTGCAGTCGCGTGCCTCCGCGCCCCAGTCCCAGCCCAGACGGCCCAGCCAGACCGCCGCGGCCCTCCAGGCGGAGAGGACGGGGCGCTGCCCTTCGAGTCCGGCCGGCCAGCTGGCTGCCTGCCTGGACACTGGCACCACCCTGCATCGGCAAGGACCCACCTACAGACAGTGAGTACCAGCGGTTGGACTTGGCCGGTCGTTCGATCCGGTTGCCCGGGTTGCCTAGTGCACTGGCGTACAGTCGGCGTGGCGCTGCACAGTGGGCCAGAAGACCCGTGGAGGCGGCCAAAACTCTAGACGCGTTTGAGCTGCAAAGTCGCTAAACAGGGCTCGAACCGAACGTGTGACCCCACCAATGGATTCCTCGTTCGGAGAGCAATCCATTGGTGGGGTCACACGTTCGGTTCGAGTCCCATTTAGTGACTCTGGAGCTCAAAACGCGTCTAGAGTTTTGGCCGCATCGTGGGGCGCACCGTACAGGCGCACCGTACAGGTGCGAGAGAGGCCGAGCGACTCTTAGAGTGGATGCGACGCCCTTGGGCCCTTGATGGCCCGGCCAATGCGCCCTTCGCCCTGCCAGCCCTGCCACGTGACCGAGTAGGCCGAGCAGGCCGACTAGACGGGCGAGCGGCGGTGCCGCCTCCGCGGTGTAACGCGGCCTCGCGCGCTGCCGCGCTGCCATGCCGCCACGTCGAAAAGTAAGCCGGCCCTTCGACTGACTTCGACGGCCCGAAGCCGCTCGGCCAGCCTAGCCAGCCTGAGGGCAGTTAGCGGCAGGCGCATTTCGAACAGCTCTTCGCCGCCGTCTCTCTCGCACCCCTACGGGCCCTACGGGACGCCCCATGAGTGCGAGAGAGACAGAGCGAAAGAACACTGTTCGGTCGGATGCAGCGAAGCAGGCATTCTCGTACTACTCGAGCCTCCATTGCGTGTGCGTGTGGACAAGTACCGATGTCGCAGTCGCACTGTCTTCCGCCTTCTGCGCCCAGCAAGACTCTGTCTCTCTCGCACTCCTAGGGCATTCGGTAGGGGTGCGGGAGAGAGACAGAGCAAGGCAAATGTGTCTCGGCGTCAGTGTGCGGAAGGGAGTCCGGGGAATACCCTGCGCGCCATCCCGTCTGGGCGAGACGACTAGACCCCGCGGGCCGCCGGCCGCGTCGCGTGGCACGCCATGAAGAGCAGCATGTTGTTGAGGCCCTGCCTGCAGAACACTCGAACCGAGCGTGTGACCCCACCAATGGATTCCTCGTTCGGAGAGCAATCCATTGGCGGGGTCACACGTTCGCTTCGAGTCCCATTTAGCGACTCTGGAGCTCAAAACGCGTCCGGGATTTTGGCCGCCTCCACCGGTCTTCTGGCCCACTGCGCGCGCCTGCCGCGTTCTCCGCGCTGCTTCAATGGCCCTTAAGCCTGCGCACCTACACTCGTCATTCGTGGATGATGAAACCCCAGCGCCATCCGCCAATGAAGTCGGCGTTGGGAAATCCCTGAGCTTCCCCGAATCAGCACTTTTCCCCCCACGCGGCCGGTCCCGATTCGCCCGTTCAAGAGCCGGCGACAAAGTTCGCCAGTGTGGGTGTGCGGTTCCTGGTTCCTGCCTCACGCGTCATCGAACGGGCCGCGAGCCGTGCGTAGCTGGCGTCCCGGGGGAGTGCCGAGGCAGTGCTCAGTGCGAGACCGATGTGGCTAAGGTGCTGGTCACGCGCACCACCGTGCAACGCCCCTGGCTGGGACCCCGCGCGCGTTTTCCTGCAACAGGTACGTATGTACTCAGCGTCGATGCCTCCCGGCGTGTTTGATGAGAGGCTCTTGGCTCAGAGGACCAAGCAGGACTGACTACCTCGCCTTCGCCAAACAGCTCTCGGAGATGGCAAAGCGTTTCGCGACCCCCTCTTTTTTGCATACCCTCTCTCTTACTGTCATTCAAATTCAAATTGCAATATTTTGCCGTAAAAAGTCTATTGCAAATTTTTTGCATCATGTAAAAATTTGCAATTAAGTTTTTCCAAGCTACAGTTTGCAATCGAAGAACTTAAAAAAATGAGCTCCTTATCAGACAAATCAACGTGTCGTTATGGCAAAATATGGCAATACTAACTAAATTGTTGCAATCCACAGTGCGATGAATCGTCGGACTTATAGACTCGGTTTCATCGCAAAAAACAATGAAGTAAAAGTGTTGGGAAATGAATGGCGGAGCTCTAGCTGTCCTGTTTGGTCCCATGGGCTTTGGGACGGCGTACTCAGTATCAAAGCAGTTCCTTGGGAGATGGTTAATTTCTTTTAAATCGATGCCATGCTCGGTTTGCAGGAAAACACGTGTCACGTCGCTTATCTTCCTCCTACTTTTTCCGACCACGTGGCTTGAGCGGGCTTGAGCCAGACAGGCGGCACCGTGTTCTTTGTGTCGCAGGTCACCGTCACCAGAGCAACCAGAGCTTGCCGACTGCGAGGAGGCTTCGAGGAGATAACGCTTTGCCAGGAGAGCACACTCAGCGCGGCGTGCGTCGAGCGGCGTGCGTTTGGCGGCAACTCCCCCTACAGTGTAGGCCCCCTACACTGTAGGGCCTACACACAGTGGGCCAGAAGACAGGTGGAGGGAGGCGGTCAAAACTCTAGACGCGTTTTGAGCTCCAGAGTCGCTAAATAGGACTCGAGCCAAGTGTGACCCCACCAATGGATTCCTCGTTCAGAGAGCAATCCATTGATGGGGTCATACGTTCGGTTCGAGTCCCATTTAGCGACTCTGGAGTTAAAAACACGTCCAGAATCTTGACCGCTTGCGCCGGTCCTCCGGACCACTGAGCTGCAACCAAAGGGCTCCGAAGGACTCCGAAGGGCTCCGAGGAACTTCAAAGGACTCCAAGGGGCTTCGTCGAACTCCAAGGGACTCCGGAGGGCTCCAAAGGGCTGGCTGGTGGAAGGTCGCACTCTACGAACTGCTGCATTTGACCGGTTCCTAGAGTGCGACCTACCTCAGGCCGGCGCCGATGCATCGTCCCTCTTCGTCTTCGTCACCCTGCATACTGAATCCGAGAGTCGTTTTCGGCGCCCTCTCTCTCTCGCACTCTTAGGGCGTCCCGTCTAGGTGCGAGATAGACACGGCGACGAAAACAACTCTCGGAATGAGTCTGCTGTGCGCAACAGGACGCGAAAAGAAAAGCCGCCCCTCCACGACGTCATTGTGGTCGTGTGTCACCAGTGTGTCACCATGGTGTCACCGGACACCGGTATCGGCGCCTCGGCGCCTCGGCGTCGGCGGCCTATCGCCAGAATGGACTGGGCATCGTCCGAGGCATCGTCATTTCCGCCTTCGCCACGCGTCAATTGTCGCAATAAAGTTACTCCTTTCCACGCAATCCTGCACGTCTTTCAATTTACTCATAATTTAACACCACGTCAAAAAAAAAAATCCGCCCCGAACTGTTAGAAAATAAATAAGATCAAACACGGAGAGGCCAATAAATTGGTTACAGCAGCCCGAAATTGCATCACTGACTCATCAAGTAGCATCACTGACTCACGAAGTGGCATCACTCATTCACGAAACAGCACTCGAAACAGCATTACTAACTGCTGCAATTGAACCTCCAGGTGAAAGCAGAACGCAAACGAAATCCACTCTGAGACTATGCGCGCTAAATGCGCTAGTAAAAGTAGGTCTTGACAGGTGGGTTGGGTGGCAAACAAAGTCACATAAATAGCAGCAGCACCAACATTTGACGGGCGAACAAGAAAACGAACGGCTTGCAACAACGGCCGGCAGCCTCGCCGGACCGGTTCGACAGACAGTGTTCTCTGCTCCCACCACGGCCGGTGCTAAAAAGCGGTGAACTCGGAGGGGAATACCGAAATACCCACGCTGCCGCGCGTGCCGCCTCGCCGTTCCTAGTGGGGCTGCCGCCCAGAAGGTAGGCCACCCTTCGCACGTTGAGGCTGACGGCTGGCGTGCGGTGGGTTGCCTGCCACCGGGCGTACGGGCAGCGTGGCATTACACAGTGGCCCAGAAGACCGGTGGAGGCGGCCAAAATTCTAGACGCGTTTTGAGCTCCAGAGTCGCTGAATGGGACTCGAATCGAACGTGTGACCCCACCAATGGATTGCTCTCCGAACGTGGAATCCATTGGTGGAGTCACACGTTCGATTAGAGCCCCATCTAGCGACTCTGGAGCTCGAAACGCGTCTAGAATTTCGTCCACCTCCACCGGTCTTCCGGCCCACTGTGCAACGCCACCGGCCTGCTTTCGGACCTGTAGCGCCTGTGCGGTAGGCCTCTCGTTTTGCAGTGCAGGCGAGCATGTGTCGGGCCCGAAATGGCATACGATCATGTGTGGTCTAGCCCTTAATGGTAATGGTAATGTGCGGTAGGCCTCTGGCGCGTCCCGCAAGGCACCAGTGTAGAGATGGTGGCCTACCTCGCCCCCGTCGGCTTCGCAGGGGCCAAGGTAGGCCGCCGTCTTTACGCCGGTGAGTTGCGCGACGGCCGGTGGCCTACCGCGCAGGCGCTTAACAGTGCACGCGACGGGCGGCCGCTGGAACTTTACCGCAAAACCGAGCCTGGGTCACCACGGATGTACACGCTGTGCGTCAATTCCAAGGGGTACCCAACTCAAGATAATCATTGCTCGTCTAGATTGGTAATCAGTGAAATAATCAACATCATCCAGTGAAATGACAATCATACTTTCGGGGATTCAATCACTTTTGACCATTTTTGCGAGACCACTGCTCCCAAACTATGAGCGCTCAAAGCCTTCCCGAGGCGGGGCATGAAAGAGTAGGGTCTTCAGAATAGTAAGGCGTCGAGGGAGGCCTTTGACCGCAACTAAATTGGACGCAGTGACCGCTCAAAGTCAGCAAAAACGGTGATTTTCTGAAATTCATTCACTTTTTGACCATTTTTGCTAGACCACTGCTCCCAAACTATCAGCGGTCAAAGCCTTCCCGAGGCGGGGCATGAAAGAGTAGGGTCTTCAGAATAGTAAGGCGTCGAGGGAGGCCTTTGACCGCAACTAAATTGGACGCAGTGACCGCTCAAAGTCAGCAAAAACGGTGATTTTCTGAAATTCATTCACTTTTTGACCATTTTTGCTAGACCACTGCTCCCAAACTATCAGCGGTCAAAGCCTTCCCGAGGCGGGGCATGAAAGAGCAAGGTCTTCAGAATAGAAAGGCGTCGAGGGAGGCCTTTGACCGCAACTAAATTGGACGCAGTGACCGCTCAAAGTCAGCAAAAACGGTGATTTTCTGAAATTCATTCACTTTTTGACCAGTTTTGCGAGACCACTGCTCCCAAACTATCAGCGGTCAAAGCCTTCCCGAGGCGGGGCATGAAAGAGTAAGGCCTTCAGAATAGTAAGGCGTCGAGGAAGGCCTATGACCGCAACTAAATTTCACGCAGTGGCTGCCCAAAGTCACCAGTATTGAATTTCCAACACTTTAACAGCTTTCCGAGGTCGGCGCTCAAATAATCCCCAATATTTCTCAATAATCAACATAATAACCTCCTATAATCAGTGATAAATAATAAAATAATCAAAAGAAATCACATGTAATCATACTCTAAATATAATCGGTGTACATGAAAATCTTGAGTTGCTGACCCCTTGGTCAATTCCGTCCTCATCGTGGTGCTAAACCGGCGGCTTGAGGCGTTCTCGTGTGAGCACAAAGTTGCGGCCACAAACAGGCACGATCACCGAACAAAGCCTTAAATTTCCTCGTGGACATTTAGAGTGTTGACACAAGGTCAATCATGGCGATTGGCCGGGGAAAGTTTGGCCGTCGGTGGGACTCGAACCCGGGCACCGCCCACCGCGACGGAGGGGTGATGAAGCCGACCTGGCCGCGTCCGACGCGGCGCGGGTTCGAGTCCCCGGGGGGCTCCCACGATCTTATCAGTCATCGGGGAATCCTGGTGGTTCCCCAACAGGACACTGGACGCTTATCCTCGCTGCTACACTCTCGGCCCGCTTGGATAAACGAATTTGAATACGCGCGTTTCCCAATTTCCACGGGTAATGCCAGGGGAAAATTGAGTCTCGAGGTTGTCGCTTGGCGTCGAACGTCAGGCTGAGTATCGGACACGTTGGAGCGCGAGGCGAGCGAAGTGTGGCGCGGATAGGCAGGTTATTAGCGTCAAACGTCGAAGCCAGGGCTCGACATTGGGGGGACTGGTCCGGAGTCCCTGAGTCTTGTCAGCGTGCATGTTTCATCTGGAAGCTGTTGCCCGAGATTTCCTGTTCCGGTTGCTGTGGGCCCTGGGCTGGTGTGGGGAAGCACCGCGCATCGCCGCGTCTGTGCAAGATTGTGGTTGCAGGATCAAGCTGTGGCCGACCGGCGACCGGCGGGGCGGCGGGGAGAGGGCGGTGCACAGTGGGCCAGAAACCGGCGCAGGTGGCCAAAATTCTAGAAACGCTAAATGGGCCTCAAACCGAGCGTGTGACCCCACCAATGGATTCCTCGTTCGGAGAGCAATCCATTGGTGGGGTCACACGTTCGATTCGAGTCCCATTTAGCGACTCTGGAGCTCAAAACGCGTCCGGAATTTTGGCCGCTTGCGCCGGTTGCTGGCCCACTGTGCAGTGGAGGGGGCCGGCTGGGCCACGCGGGGCCTGACTGGCGGTGGCGGGACGGCCCGGCCCAGCCAGCCAGTCGCTCCGGGGATGTGGTCGGCGCGGTGCCGGGGCCCAGGCTCACGCCCAGGCCCTGGCCGGTCTTGGCGTCCGTCTTGCTCGTCGCGTTGCTCGTCGCGCTGCTCGTCGCGCTGCCTCGCCGTGCTGCTCCTGGCCGCCGTCGTGCTCCCCGAGCTCATCCCCGAGGCCCTGGCCAGGCCCACCGCCGCGCCGCCGCAGGCCGAGCCGCTGCAGAGGACAGTGCCCCCGCACCCGCCCTGCACCAAGAGGACGTCGGTGGTGCTGGAGGGCGAGGCCGAGCAGCTGCGCGACGGCGGCCTCCGCGACCAGGACGGCCGCGTGTTCCCCGCCGGCACCTGGTACACCAACGACACGCACACCATGGGCTGCGCCTGCAAGGTGCGTCAGCCCCGGTCAGTCCGCCTCACTTAGCTCGTTGCCGGCTCGTCGGCCGCCCCCGTCGGCCGCCCACCGTCGGCCTGTCCCTTCGCCGCTTCGCCAATCTAGCATCCCGGAGACGCTGGGGGAATGTTAACACGTCGCGGTGCCACTGTGAAAACAGCGAGGCCGGCTGCAGCCTCATGCCCTCTCTCGCTCTCACGGGGCGTGCCGTACGGGTGCGAGCGAGACAGAACGGCGAAAACGACTCCGAGTCTGCCGGTGGTGGCGTAGTGCCAGTGGTTGGAGGATGGCACGCGGGGGCGGGGAAGCGACGGCGGGAACACCGCGCGACCTGACGGGACGTGTGAGGCGAGACAACATGGCGACGAGCTGGAAGACAATGGTACACACAGAGATTAAGCAGTACAGCCAGCCTGTAAACACACTTCAGCGGCGGACGAATTGGCGCCAAAACGGGCGCCTCAAAGTTTGTTGATATTTCCACGCGAAAGGTTTCCACACTTGAGTGATTTTTGGCGGGTAACAGTGTATAGTGCAGTGCAGCCAGCCTGTAAACACACTACAACGAATTGGCGCCAAAATGGGCGCCAGAAAAATTGTTGCTCGAAAGTTTTCCACACTTGTGCAGTGATTTTTGGCGGGTCGCCACAGTGTATGGGACCGCACCCACCTGTCCGGGTCTTGGAACTGCAACCGCGGCGTCCGGCGTGTGATTGCAAACCCTATCGCCCAGAGATAGAGAGCCGATCGGCTGGCGCCTCGGAACGCCAACAAAGCGAATAAAGTGTCGTGTTTAGTAGTGTGGTGGAACGGCGGGACGTGTGCTTTTGCTTTTGTTGTTGTTTTTTCGGACACTTGCCAATCCTGCGGGCGCGGCAGGACGCACGGCCTGGCGTTCGCACTATCAGCCATAAAGTAAAAGAGGTGCCGTTTGAGAGAGTTTCGACCACGCTACTTACTTCCCGGCACAAACTAACGCCAACCAACGATTCGTCAAATTTTGAGGCTTTGAAATACGCTTGAGATTTCGACTTTTTAACTTCTTGTTCTGGTTCTTGAGACCGCGCAGACCAAAGTAGGTTGTCCTTGCGTCACTTGTTATCTCTCGACAAACGTTTCGGGACGCGGACGCCTATATTTTTAGATAAAGTACGTAAATCCTGAGCGACAAAATAAATTTTGAATAGATAAATTTGCCTAGGTGATGGCGAAAGATCATCGGGACACGTTAAAAAGCCTTCTTAAAAAACGAAACTGATTTGTAGGAATGGGGAATTGAACCAGGAATCCCGTGTTCACGTGGTGGTGTCTTTACCCCTTCGGCCACGCGATCCAGACGCCCCCAGGCCCCTACTCAGTACGCAGAGTGGCGCCGGCAGAGGGCGCGGGGGAGGCAGCGCGAACGCCGCTAAGTCGCCTCTTAAAATGCTGATGGGACGCCCACTGTGAAATTCCGCGTCGCGAAACAAGAGCAAGAACAGCAAAGAACCTGAACGGGCTGGCTGCGCTGCGACCCCTAGCCTTTGATTACTTTCATCGCGTACCGATTAGCAGGCTAGCCGGGCTAGCCTGCTCCGTTTCAAAGGGATCACGAGCCCGCCTTTACGAGCCGCCCACCCCCTGCCTCTCTAAGTGTCCTTCTCCCTTTAAAACAGCCTTCCGCTTTAACCTCTTTTTCCCGCAAAAAAGAGCAAAAATGTTTGGTTGGTCGTGAAATTTAGTACATTTAATTTCAAGGTGGATTTTTAGAGTGGTGACGCAAGGACATCCCGCCTCCCCTCGCTTCCTCGCAAAGCAGTTTCCGATTCGACACCGGACGGCGGAGAGAAAAAAAGGAGAAAAGGGAAGAGGGAGAGAGAGGGGGAAAGAGAGAGAGAGAGAGAGAGAGAGAGAGAGAGAGAGAGAGAGGGAGGAGAGAGAAAAGAAAAGAGAGAGGAGGGGATTCATTCGCCTGGAGGCGACAGCGCGAGGGACCGAGGAGGGTCCAGCGGCCTGCGTTTGAAACGTGTCGAAGCGGAGTGCGCTGCAGACTGATTTCGCGAGCGAGGGTCCGTGTCTGTTTCTCGGGTTGTCCGTCTCCCTCGCACCCCTGCGTACCGCCCTGTGAGTGACAGAGAGAGAGAGAGAGAGAGAGAGAGAGAGAGAGAGACCTCGGTACGGTGCGTCGCACGGCGCGGCGCCCGCGGCCAGGACGTCCGCCAACTTTGCCGGACGAATGGTGCGGACGGCATGGTGGCCCATGGCATCGCCCCACCCCCCCCCGCCCCCCCAGTCCGCTCGCCATCAAAGCGACCGGGCCCGCCTCTCGTTTCCAAACCGTTTGTTTTCTCCAGAACGATGTGCGTTGCCTCGCTTGGCCTCGCCACGTGAAGGTGGCACTCGGAAGGGCCGGTCGGGGTAAAAGGGGGGGGGGGTTACAGTGTGGGGCCTGTTGCGTCGCTTGTAGTCTCGGCGTCTTGACGTTCCGTACCGGTCGCCAGCACGCCAGCACTCGACCCATCACCAGCATACGAATGGAAGAAGCGCCCTCTCTCTCTCTCTCTTTCTCTCTCTCCCGTCGCAAAGCAGGCAGATTCCGAGCGCTTTGGGATATCCACTGGTGGGCGGTTGCCGCCGCGGGCCCGGCCCGGACCCGCAGCTGGCGACCAATCGCCGCCCTGCCCGCTGTTTGGATACTTTCAATCTGTCGTGGGGGAGGGAAAGGGGGGCGGTTTACGACGCATTCGCTATCAAAGCGCCGCCACTGTGTGGGAACGACCGCGCCGCCCCCGCCAAACTGGCCGAGGGGCCGCACGCACGAGGACGCGGCGGCGGACTCGGCTCGGGTTCGACACCTCACTCTCTCTCTCTCGTACTTGCAGGCCGGCACGTGCTTCTTCAAGTGCTGCCCGGCGGGCGAGATGTCGCTGAAGCAGCGACGCTGTGGCACCGCCGCCGAGAGGGAGAGCCAGAGAGGAGCCGTCCTCTCTGGGGAGAGCCCGTGCGGGCTCGCCAGGGCGGCCGCCGAAGCCTGCGGCGGCAACGCGACGGCGGAGCCCGACGCCGACCTGGACGCGCCCGGGCTGGACAACGTCACGCTGGCGCTGGACCTGTACTCCGTGGACAACCTGGAGGAGCCGTGGCAGTCCGCCGTGCCGCCGCCCCCGCAGTGGATCATGCTGTACGGCAAGCCCAGCAGGCCCATGCTGAGGTAGGCAACGCCAGCACACTGGCTCGTCGCACAGTGGGACTCGAACCGAACGTTTGACCCCACCAATGGATTGCTCTCCGAACGAGGAATCCTTTGGTGGGTTCACTCGCTCTGTTCGAGTCCTGCCTAGCGACTCTGGAGCTCAAAGCGCGTCTCGAGTTTTGGCCGCCGGCACCGCGCCAGTCAGCCTGCGCGAGGCGGGGTACGCCAGCCCGCCAAGCAGGGCTGCGCAACGGGACTGCCTACCCCGCATTACCATTACCATTAAGGGCTAGACCACACATGATCGTATGCCATTTCGGGCCCGACACATGCTCGCCTGCACTGCAAAACGAGACATGGCCGTCCTTGGCAGGCGCCTTGTGACCGCTCCACGGCGCAAGGCAGGACACTGTGCGCTCTCTGCCCCTAGACTGGAGCCGAACGACGCCGACGACAAGTTCTACCTGCTGGCCAACGGGTCGCTGTTCGTGCCGGGCCACAGCACCACCGCCTTCCCGCCCGCCGAGTTTTGCATGGACGTCTTCGACGACGTCGGCACCGTCACGGCGCTGATCCCCTTCCCGCCCGAGACGGACGAGGTCGTCGACCACACCCTGCTGTACGACACCGTCAACTCCGTGGGTGAGTGGGCAGCAAGGACGTCGTTCCGAACGAGGGCGGAACGAGGGGGGCGGAGCGGTGCACAGTGGGCCAGCCAGAAGACCGGTGGAGGCGGCCAAAACCCTAGACGCGTTTTGATCTCCAGAGTCGCTAAAGAGGACTCGAACCGAGCGTGTGACTCCATCAGTGAATTCCTCGTTCCGAGAGCAATCCATTGGTGGGGTCACACGTTCGGTTCGAGTTCCATTCAGCGACTCTGGAGCTCCAAACACGTCCGGTCTTCTGGCCCACTGTGCGGTGTAGCAAACGTTGCCTACCTCTCCCCTGGCTTGGCACTGACTGGACGCGGTTCTCTTCGCCCTGCCGCAGGCCTGCTCATCTCCCTGCCCTTCCTGATGACCACGTTCATCGTGTACGCCAGCCTCGGCGAGCTGCAGAACCTCCACGGCAAGAGCCTGCTGTGCCACGTGGGCGCCATGACGCTGGCCTTCGTGGACCTCCTGCTCGTCAAGTTCAGGATCGGCGCCGACAACCTCATGTTCTGCAAGTTCCTCGGTGAGTCCCTGCAGAACCAGTCGACGCACGGTGTGCCAGAAGACCGGTGGAGGCGGTCAAAATCACGGACGCGTTTTGAGCTCCAGAGTCGCTAAATCGGACTCGAACCGAACGTGTGACCCCACCAATGGATTGCTCTACGAACGAGGAATCTATTGATGGGCGCAACGCGTGCACCGCCGTGAACCCCACCGGCCGTCCTGGAGTGTCCTGGAGTGTCCTGGAGTGTCCTGGAGTGTCCTGGAGTGTCCTGGAGTGTCCTGGAGTGTCCTGGAGTGTCCTGGAGCGTCCTGGAGCGCCAGAGACTGGCCGGCGTCCGTGTCCCCGCGGCCTTGAGGTGCCCGTCGAACATCCTCCTTGCAGTCCTCTCCGCCGAAACGGCCGGGCGATGCCCGTGATGCCCATTCCCCGCATGGCTGGAGCTGACGGCGAGTCGCGCCGTCTCTCTCGCACTCTAGCAGACCGCCGCCCCGCCCCGCGCGTCCCCGCGAGTGCGAGAGAGACGGCACGACCGGCCTGCCGCCGCTGCTGGAGACGCGACAACGACGTCTATCAATCACCGCGGGGAATTCCCGGCCCGCCGCGCTTGACGCCATCAGGTGCGATAAGAGCCACGTCCCTTGCCGACCAAATTTCTATTTTTACTTTTTATTTTTTCGTTTCTTTTGTTTGTTTATGAAGATGCGCTTGGTGCTCGGCTATGCGCGGCGCGGCCGCGGCGCTCGGCGCTCGCGCGGCCCAGAAGGCCCTCGAGAGTCAGTCCGGCGCCTCCGCCCGACCAATCAAAAATTATGACCTTCTTTGCCTCGAGGCGCGAGTATTTTACGCCCCCGGGATGGCCGGGCATGAGGAAAACGGAGGTGCGGCCGCCGCGCCGCTGCCCGCTCCGAACGGAAACGGTGGAAAGAGGGAAAAAGAAAACCGGCGGGAAAATGCAAATACAGCGACCAGTAACGAAAACGGTGTGCTGTCCCTGGTCCCTGATCGTCATGGTGGCACACGAACGACGAGTGAATGCGATCTCTATTTTCGAAGAGCCCACTGAAAACAGCTCTCATTGTTTCTAATTCCAAGAGTGACAATATCGTTCTCTCGCTCTTTATTTATTTTTTTGGTGGCGCACTGTGGACATCGCGCCGGCCTGCCGGCCTCTCCTCCCGCCAGCAAGCGGTGCACAGTGGGCCAGCAACCGGCGCAGACGGCCAAAGTTCCGGACGCGTTTTGAGCTCCAGAGTCCCTAAATAGGACTCGAATCGAACGTGTGACCCCACCAATGGATTGCTCTCCGAACGAGGAATCCATTGGTGGGGTCACACGTTCGGTTCGAGTCCCATTTAGCGACTCTGGAGCTCAAAATGCGTCTAGAATTTTGGCCGCCTGCGCTGGTTTCTGGCCCACTGTGCGGTGACGGGCCCGTCTGCTGTTTCCGTTTCCACGCGACTCGGTCCAATTTGTTCATTCCACGATTCCACGCAGCTGTTGGGCCGTCAGTTTGTTTTCCACGACACCGGGATGAATAGTCGCTTTTGTGGGAGGGCAATCGATGCAAAGAGCGGAGGAGGGGGAAGGGCTCCACCAAGGCAAATACAGAGTTTGCGCGACGCGCATGTGATGTGACACCAACAAAGAGAGTGGGCACCGAACTCCGCGTCACTTCCCAACAGCACGCGCTTGTGTCTGTGTGTGTGCGCGCGTGTGTGAGTGCGTGTGTGTGCACTACAACAGAGTTGTGCTGACCGCCTCGCCTCGCGGCCTCGCAGGATCCCACTGCCCTCGCACTGCGACACTGCGAGAGGTGGCGCCCGCTGGCGCATTCCGGTATCCGGTGTAACTACTCTAGAGACATTCTCATGTGTGTGTGAGTGTGTGTGTGAATGTGTTTGCATGCCAAACATTTATCGCGAGTCTGTGTCGCGGGCGGAAACGTTATCACAGCCCTGTGGGCACTGCAGCCGACGCCGTATTGCCGGGCCGTGGCCTCACACAACCACACACACACACACCACACACACACACACACCACACACACACACACACAAAAGCGTGGCTGGAGGAAGCGGCGAGGGCGGCGGCCTTGGAACGGGTCGAGGTTTGACGGACGGCGTCGACGGCGTCCTAGACGACAATGAGGCGGTGCGGCGATAAGCGACCGGCGTGTGTCTCCTCGTCACCGCCATCGGTAAACCCGGCTAAACCACCACCGCGTCGGCGAGAAGCACAACCACTGCGTGCAGCTTCGTCAACCCCGAGCAGCGCGCTCGTGACCTCGGATCGCGGCGGCGGATCCAAATGAGCACGTAGCACCGCGCAGCAGCGGACAGGTGGGCCAGAATACCGGCGCTGGCGGCCAAAACTATAGACGCGTTTTGAGCTCCAGAGTCGCTAAATGGGACTAGAACCGAACGTGTGACCCCACCAATGGATTCCTCGTTCGGAGAGCAATCCATTGGTGGGGTCACACGTTCGGTTCGAGTCCCATTTAGCGACTCTGGAGCTCAAAACGCGTCTATAGTTTTGGCCGCCTACCGGTCTTCTGGCCCACTGTGCAGCGCGCAGCACGCAGGTCGCGAGCCCTGTGCTGTCGGCGACAAGTGCAGTGTAAATACGGGGCCTGCTCTTCCCCAGCGGCCCAATACGGCCCCGCGGCCCCGCGGCCCCGTGGCCCCACCACAGCCGCGGGGCGCCCCGACGTTGGCGGGCGGGGTTGGGGTAGGGCGTGGGTCGCGTCAAGGGTGTTGTTCTCCTTGCCCCGGCGGCCCCGGCCGTCCCGGGCGGCACCTGTTCGGTCGGGTGTTCCCGCGGGATGGCCATGCTAGGTGATCACTGTGCTCAGAGTCTCTGAGCCCCCCCCCCTCCCCCCTGCCGTGCCGCCGTTGAAGGAGAGGGGAGGAAGGGGTTCCGCCACCCGAGCCACCTCCATCAAGGCCTGCTGGTGGTGTTTGCGGGGCCGCCGCCACACCCTAACAACACCGTATCGGACAGTCTCCGTAACCCTCTGGCACGGCGGTGGCGTGGCGGGGCGGGGCGGGGCGGGGCGGGGCGGGGCGTACCGTCCGCGGGGAGGAAACTCGACGCCCGCTGCACCTCGGTTGATTGCCCCATACGTCACAGAACCACCCCGCCGATGCGTGTAGGCTGGTTGCGCGTGTGTGTGTGTGTGTGCGCGTTTACCCAGGACCGTGAAAGCCTGTGGGGCGGGTGCTCGCTCCTCGCTGCCGGACGGCAATTGGTCGCGGGGAGTCCCGGCGAGTCCTTGGAGACAGTCGAGAGACGGTCCGGCGCGTGTGGTCTGGTCGCGTCCCCTGGCGCCCGAAAATCATAAAGAAAAAGTCCCCCCCCCTCCTTCTTCCCGGCCACGTGCCCGTCTCCGTCAAGCTCGCTGCGGGCAGCCTGGACCGATGCCGACTTTCGACCCCCAGCCTCCCTCAAGCCTGCCCGCCCTGCGCGCCCTCGCCGCCGAGGCCGCCTAGTGCAACGACCTGGTGGTATGTGTCAAAGGGCGGCCCCTTCCGGGAGCGGCGCTGTTTTTGTACACTCGAACACACACACACACACACACACACACACACACACACACACACACACACACACACACACAAAACACACACACAACACACACACACACAGAGCGAACCGTCGTCGCCGTGGACACGGCCGCCTTGGACTCCAGGGCGCGCACCTGCGGCCTCCTCCAATTTCTCGGAGAGCGCGGGATAAAAGTTGTTGCTCCTCTCTGTCCCTCTCCTCTCCTCGCCTCTCCGTCGGCCGGCTGCCCGTTCCGTAGTTCCATCCATTCCGCGTGCATGTCTAGGAGGAGTGTGCGGTATGGCCGGCCCCAGCAGGGGAAACCCCCTGGCCCGCCTGGCCCGCCGCAGCAGACATTCCGCGCCGTGCCGAGCGGGAGGATTAGCTCTCTTTCTCTCTCTCTCGCACTCGTGGGGCGTCACGCCGTGGGGGTGCGAGGGAGACAGCCCGTCTCGGAGTCAGCCTGCAGACACCAAACGAGGAGACGGAGGCGAGGCCCCCCCCCCCCCCGGTGCTCTGCGCGATGGGCGGGGGCGTTCGGTTAGCCTTCCGTTTGCCTTCTGTGGGCCTTAGCTTTAGTTGGCCTTCGGTTAGCCTTCGTTTGCCTTCTGTGGGCCTTAGCTTTAGTTGGCCTTCGGTTAGCCCAGCGGTTCCCAACCTTGGGGTCGCGACCCCAAAGGGGTCTGCGAAAAAATTTCGAGGGGTCGCGGCGAGGTGGCTGGGGTCGCCTGGGGTCGCGGTGTTTTCCCGGCTGGCCCACACGCCGAGCACTGGCTGCTTAAATGCCGCAAAGTTGATCAAAACGGTCACAAATGTCTGTAAAAGATCGTGTTTTGGGCGACTTTAAGCATCCACTGCGTCTGATCCGAGGCGGTAAATCGTCCTCCCTCAACGGGCAATTGGTCTTTGGACCTTCCTTTGCATGCCTTTGTTACGGAGTGTGATTATCTGCCTTAGTTGGAAGCAGTGCTGCCGCAAAGTTGGTCTAAACGGTCACAAATGTCTGTAGAAAAATCGTGTTTTGGGCCGACTTTAAGCATCCACTGCGTCTGATCCGAGGCGGTAAATCGTCCTCCCTCAACGGGCAATGGTCTTTGGACCTTCCTTTTGCATGCCTTTGTTACGGAGTGTGATTATCTGCCTTAGTTGGAAGCAGTACTGCCGCAAAGTTGGTCTAAACGGTCACAAATGTCTGTAAAAAATCGTGTTTTGGGCCGACTTTAAGCATCCACTGCGTCTGATCCGAGGCGGTAATCGTCCTACGTCAACGGGCAATTGGTCTTTAGACCTTACCTAGCATGCCTTTGTTACGGAGTGCGATTATGCGCCTAGTTTGGAACAGTTTTGCCGCAAAGTTGATCAAAACGGTCACAAATGTCTGAAAAATCGTGTTTTGATCAACTTTGTGGCAAAACTGCCCCCAAACAGGCAGATAATCGCACTCCGAACAAAGGCATCAAAAGGAAGGTCCAAAGACCAATGCCCGTTGAGGGAGGACGATTCCGCCTCGGATCAGACGCAGTAGCTGCTTAAAGTCTGCCCAAAACGGCGATTTGGAGATTTGTGACCGTTTTGATCAACTTTGCGGCAATACGGGCTCCCAAAACCCTAAGGCCCCCAGATATCGCACTCCTGCACAAGGCCATGCTAAAGGAGGGGTCGCGGTCGGAGTCCCCGAAACCGGGGCGCGGAAAGTTTTGGCTACAAATTTGGTGTCGCGCCGATAAGGTTGGGACCGTTGGGTTAGCCTTCCGTTTGCCTTCTGTGGGCCTTAGCTTTAGTTGGCCTTCGGTTAGCCTTCTGTGGGCCTTCGCTTCAGCTGGCCTTCGGCAGGCGTTCGGCCGGGCGTTCGGTCAGCCTTCAGCGGGCGTTCAGTAAGCCGGGCGCGAGGCGATACGAGCGCCAGGACGTATAAAAGGATCGACGGGGCACTGCGAGTCGTAAATCTTAAAATCATCGCGCCGCTCTTCCGACTATATGACATAAAACTAATACTATTGGGCCGCGAGAGGACGTGCTGTCCGAATTGGCGCCCACTCGAATGAATCGAATCCATTGATCTCTCCCTCTCTCTATCTCTCCATACGAACAACAGATGCCTGCAAGTGGAAAAAACGGTCGTCAAAATTTCTCATAAGATTTCAACTTTGCTCTATTATTCCAACTGCCCCATCCCCGCCGCTGCCCATGCATGCCAAATGATTATTCCGCCCCGCGCCAGAATGCCCAGAAATTTGACGCCCAGACGACCAAATTCGGAGACCGGCGCGCGCATTAAAATTCATGACTTTTCGCGCGGGGCGACGGCGCCGCCGCCGCCGCCACTGTTGTTGTTGTTGTTTTCCGATGAATCGCGCAATTAGGTGTTGTTTGTTGTTGGTTTTTCGATGGGAGTCGACATCAGAGGAAGCGTCGCCGTATCGCATCGGGCCGAGGCGTCGCGACCATAGTCGCGGTGTCGTCCAGGAAGTCCTTCACATTTAGCCGTGGTGCCGCCGCGCTGCGGAGCACCATCCTCCTTCTCTCTCTCTCTCTCTCTCTCTCTCTCTCTCTCTCTCTCTCTCTCTCTCTCTCTCTCTCTCTTTTCCAGCCGTCTGCGTCTCACTCAGCGTGTGCGTCTCTCTCTCTGGTGACTTGAAGTTTCTGGCGGAGCGCGCGCACTGGATAAAAATGGGACGCCCCCACTAACAAGTTGCTCATCACTGCCACAATGAAGGCAGAGGAGACGCCGGCAGACTGATTCAGAGTGTTGTTTTCGTCGCTCCGCCTCTCTCGCACTCATGGGGCGTCTCGTATAGGCGAGAGAGAGAGAGAGAGAGAGAGAGAGAGAGAGAGAGAGAGAGAGAGAGGGGAAGCGACTCACTGGAGTCTGCTGGAGCGAGGGGCCGAGGGGGCTGCCCGCCCGCCGCGTGCCTGCGGTTCCCAGAGTTGCCGTCGGGTCCGCGGACTTCCAGTGGTCGCGCACCGCGTCCGCGACGTCCGCGACGTCACGGGGACACGACGGTGACGTCATTCGCACGGCAAAACGACGCCGCGGACGTCGATGACGGCAGAGAGCTGCAATTCGACGCCGCGGGCCCCGCCCGGCCCCGCCCCCGCCTCCAGGCGGCGTGCTTTGTGCTTTGAGGCGACTCGGGACACAACAGTGTAATCACATTACGCCTTTCCTGCCTCCTGTCGCGCGTGCTGAAGGCTGGACCCTCCCTCAGTGACCGCATCCGGGACTGCCTGCCCACCGCACAGTGGAGGCGGCCAAAACTCGAGAAGCGTTTTGAGCTCCAGAGTCGCTAAACAGGACTCGAACCGAACGTGTGACCCCACTAGTGGATTCCTCGTTCAAAGAGCAATCCATTGGTGGGTCACACGCTCGGTTTGAGTCCCATTTAGCGACTCTGGAGCTCAAAGCGCGTTTAGAGTTTTAACCGCCTCCACCGGTCTTCTGGCCCACCGTGCGCCAGGCCAGGTGCCTCGCGGTTTGAGCCGCCTCGCACGCGTGCGTCCTTTCCCTACTATTTTGGAGGGACCGCGCTAGTGTAGCGGACGATCAAGTCATTCGCGCTCCGATACGTGCAGTGCAGGCGCCCCGATAAGCCAATTGATAGATTAGGTCAATAAAGTGGCCGATAGGGCACATGTGCCGAACAGATAGCGTCGCGTAGGACTGCACAATTGCAAGGCCTCGGTCGCAGCAGCCGGCGGCAGCGGCGGCAGCGTCCGAAAACAATTAGCAATTGGAACCGCCGCTGGAGCGTGCCAGTGTACCTGTCTGCCTGTCTGCCTGCCTGCCTGCCCGTCTCTCAGGAAGCAGCGGCGGCAGTTTCAAAAGTTGCCGACATCGACAGTTTGGGCCACTGCACTTGCTGCAGGTGCCGCTCCCTGCAGAGCGATTTGCGCCTTCGAGGTGCAGATGCGTCCTGTTCCCGTCTTCGCTTCTTCCCCCGTCGGCTTCCTCTTCCGTCTCTCTTTCCCTTCTCTGCCTCCTCCTTGCCACGCCCACCTGTAGCGGTGTAGCAGCACCGTCCACCAGTCGGCGTGATTGCGAGGTAAAACAATCTCTTTCGCGAAAAGCACCGTCTCTCTCGCATCCCGCCGCCGCTGTCATTCCCTCTCTCTCTCCCTCCCTCCCTCCCTCCCTCCCTCCCTCCCTCCCTCCCCTCCCTCCCTCCCCCTCCCCCCCCCCCCCTCTCTCTCTCTCTCTCTCTCTCTCCCTCTCTCTCTCCCTCCCTCTCTCTCTCTCTCTCTCTCTCCCCCTCCTCTCTCTCTCTCTCCTCTCTCTCTCTCTCTCTCTCTCTCCCCGCACCTCCCGTGCGCATAATCACTCCGTCTCCACCAACAAACCACTCGCGTTCGCGCTGGATAGGATGATGAACAGCTTCGCCAACAACGCAGTTTCACGCCCCGCCTCGCCCCGCCCCGCCCACCTCACCCGACTCGTCTGAGAACTTTTTCGCGCTTCTCCGAAATCCGTGTGCAGTGGGGCGGCGGGGCGGCGGGGTCACCCGCTGCAAACTAGAGCCGGGCGAGCTCGGCGGGCTGGAGGCTTTCCTCCACACACGCCGTATAACGGGTTCGGGGCACGCCTATAAAAATGATGGGGGTTCGGAAAAAATTTGAGACAACGTGCTATGCCACACGCCGCACTTATGAAAGTTGATGTACGATTTTTCAGATTCAGATTTCCCACCCGCCACGCCGCATGCCGCACTCGCACACTCCCGATTCGCCACTTGAGAGAACAAAAACTCCGCGCGCGACGCCCCAAGCGACGCCGCAAGCGACGCCCCAAGCCCCAGCGCCGCTGGCCGCGGCCGTGGTTTGTGGGCCCGGATTTAAAAGGACACCACACCAGCAGCGGCTGGTGGATTTGCCGGGGACTACCTCGAAGCACGTCTGGCTCAGAGGCTCCAGGAAAGCACCCCCTCCCCTCCCCCTGCCCTCCCCTCCCCTGCCCTCCCTCCCCTGCCCTCCCCTCCCCTGTCCTCCCCTCCCTCCCCCATCATGCCGCTCCCTTTCTACGTTTCCGCGAGGACTGGTATCAGATTTATCACCGAGGAGTGGGAGTACGGCTGGGCGTGGTTTCGTAGAATGCGGCAACCTTTAACGCGGGGCGGGGCGGGGCGGGGGCGGGCGGGGCGGAACGTGGCGGGACAGAGCCCCATCTGGGGTCGTGGGTGGGGCCAAATGACTTTGAAGAAAGTATTTTTGTTTGCTTGTGTGTTTGAAAGAAATTTGACAAAGATGTTTTTGCTTCTGTTTTGCAGGCTTCTTTCTCCAGTTCGCCTTCCTGGCCTGCTTCTTCTGGCTCAACGTCATGTGCTTCGACATCTGGTGGACCTTCAGGTAGGAACAGTCAGCGAGCTTTGCGGACTGTTTTTGAACCCGAACCTTGGGATGGGACTGCAAACCTTCCCTCCCTTTGAACGAGACGCGTAGTAAGAAGACCCTGTTGCGTCGCACCATTACCTGCGACTTGGATGGAAATAGAAAATACCGTTGACGGGGGAACAGCGCGGTCCGGTAAGCCTTTTTTTTGCGCAGCTTTTCCTTCTCCCCGTCTGGCTGTCTCAGAATCAACAAGGGTTCCTTTCCGCGTTGCGCGCGTTGCGCCATCGCTGAAGTCCGATACCTCGCGGCCCACAGTGGGCCAGAAGACCGGTGGAGGCGGCCAAAACTCTAGACGCGTTTTGAGCTCCAGAGTCGCCAGACGGGACTCGAACCGAACGTGTAATCCCACCAATGGATTCCTCGTTCGGAGAGCAATCCATTGGTGGGGTCACACGTTCGGTTAGAGTATCATTTAGCGACTCGAGAGCTCAAAACACGTCTATAGTTTTGGCCGCCTCCACCGGTCTTCTGGCCCACTGTGCGGCCCCTCGCGGCCCGCCAGTTGTGGCGCCAAAGCCCCTGTCCCTGTCCTCCCCGTCTGCATCGTGTGCCACGGTGTGCCGTCGTGTGCCGCGCCACTGTGTGACGCGACAGCGCTGCGACGCAACACCCCTATTATGTCGGATGTCGTTAGTCAGGGGGAAAGGGGAGGGGGCTCGCTGTCTGCGGAAAGTTGAAGTCGCGCTGCTGTGAGTTTGCTCGACTCCAACTACCGAAAGCCAATTTCTGTCTGGACCGTCGCTGTCGGCGTGGTGATGGTTGTTGTTGTTGGCGGCGGCGGCAGAGCGCCTGCGATGCCGAGGGTAGGCCGCCAGGCAGCACACCCGCGCGTCGCGAGGGCTGGATTGCCAAACCTCGTCCGGCGTGCCTCCAGGCCACTGGCGCCCTACTCGGCCGGCTGGCGGCTTAGGACCTCCAGGACCTGCAGCCTGGCGGCCTCTAGGACCAGGACCTGCGCTGGGGCTTAGGCTCGGACCTGCAGCCTGGCGGCCTGTAGGACCTCCAGGACCTGCAGCCTGGCGGCCTCTAGGACCTCCAGGACCTGCAGCCTGGCGGCCTCTAGGACCTCCAGGACCTGCAGCCTGGCGGCCTCTAGGACCTCCAGGACCTGCAGCCTGGCGGCCTCTAGGACCTCCAGGACCTGCAGCCTGGCGGCCCTGGCTCGCCAGAAGCCGTTTCAAAACCCAGTCATCCAGTCTCTGCGATGACACGCCGTTCCGGAGGGCGTGGAACCAGGAAATGTGTGTGTGTGTGTGTGTGTGTGTGTGACTTGTTAATTTTGCCGACCTTTGGCTGCTTGGCTGCTGGTGCTGCCTCGGCGTGTAAATAGCCCCGCTGCGGTCTGGATCGCTTCGCCGCTCTGTCTCTCTCGGCCCCCTGCGGGGCTGTGCGTCGCCCCATGAGTGCGACGGGGACAGAGCGACGAAGCGACTCTGCGGTGCGGCCCAGCAGGCCGATTCCGAGAGTCGTTTCCGTCGCTCTGTCTCTCTCGCACTCATGGGGCGACCCGTGTAGGTGCGAGAGAGACAGAGCGACGAAGCGACTCTCGGAATCGGCCTGCAGCCTCGGCGCCACGGCCTCCGCGGCGTGGACGACGTACTCGGCGCTTGTTACCCGTCTAAGGGCCCTCGCCACCTTGCCCTGCGCTTCTCCGTCTCTCTCGCACGCCTGCGGGACGCCGCACGAGTGCGAGAGAGACGGAGCGACGACAGCGCTCGGCCCTCCGTGGCACCATCAAAGGGCCGGGGGATCCGTCTACGTCTCCGTCGCACCCCTCAGTAATAAGGGCATCGATGGGAGGGACAGTGACAGACTCCGTCTGGGCCGTCTGGGCCACTGCCCCTTGTTACACGCCGAGCTTGGACGCGTTGGAGCGACTGCCCATTGCCGCCGCCAAATCGACACCAATAAATGCCGACTTCCCAAACGCGCCAACTTGAGCATATTGCTTGTGAGCTACGCACGATAACTTAGTTTTACAATTAGATTCCAAAATTGTTGCCTGCCAGACTTTTGCACAGCGCACAGTGGGCCAGAAGACCGGTGGAGCGGCCTAAATTCTAGACGCCTTTTGAGCTCCAGAGTCGCAAATGGGACACAAACCGAGCGTGTGACCCCACCAATGGATTCCTCGTTCGGAGAGCAATCCATTGGTGGGGTCACACGTTCGGTTCGAGTCCTAATTAGTGACTCTGGAGCTCAAAACGCGTCTAGAATTTTGGCCGCTCCACCGGTCTTCTGGTCCACTGCGCAGCGCTCCCCGTTTGTGAGTCGTGTGTTTGTGGCGTTGCTCGCCCCGCCGCTTGTGATGTTCGTTGGTCCACGCTGACGCCCTCCTTCTCCTTCGCAGCGGCTTCCGCTCGGTGCACGGCTCGCCGTCCTGGTCGGCGGGCGAGCGGTCGCGGTTCCGCGCGTACTCGCTGTACGCGTGGGGCGGCCCGCTGGTCATCCTGGTGGTGACGGTGACGGTGCAGGTGGTGGGCGACTGCGTGGGGCTGCCGGCCTACGTCATCCACCCCGGCGTCGGCGTGGACTCGTGCTACCTGGGCTCGACGCACGCCAAGTACGCCTACTTCCGCGGCCCCGCCGCCGTGCTGCTACTCTGCAACGTGGGCCTGTTCGTGCACACGGCCATCCGCATCGTGCAGCTGCGCCGCGAGACGCGCGCGCTCAAGGGCGCCGAGAGCAAGCGCCACTCGGACGAGCGGCACCGCTACTTCGTGTACCTCAAGCTGTTCGTCACCATGGGCGTCAACTGGATCGCCGAGATCGTGTCCGGCATGCTGCCCGAGCCGGAGAGGGCGGACTACGGCTACCTGGGCATCGTCATCATCGTCTCGGACGTCACCAACTCCCTGCAGGTGCGCAGCAGTGCGCAGTGGGGGCGGCCAAAATTCGAGACGCGTTTTGAGCTCCAGAGTCACTTAAAGGGACTCGAAGCGAGCGTGTGACTCCACCATTGGATTCCTCGTTCAAACAGCAATCCATTGGTGGGGTCACACGTTCGGTTCGAGTCCTGTTTAGAGACTCTGGAACTCAAAACGCGTCCGGAATTTCGGCCGCCTGCACCGGTCTTCTGGCCCACTGTGAGGTTGTGTTGGTTTGTTTCGGCGTGGACGTGGCGTGACTCCTGGCCGTCTCGTTGCAGGGCATCCTCATCTTCGTGATGTGCGTGGGGACGGGCCACGTCCGCGGGCTGGTGGTGGACCGCATCCTGCGGCGCCGCCCCGCGCGACAGGTGTCCAGCCACTCGTCCACCAAGACCACCAACACGCGCGCCAACGGCGTCGTGAGCCGCAGCAACGGCGACAGCATCAAGAAGGACGTGGGGCTGTTCGCGGTGAAGCCCGTGGCGGTGGTGGCGCCGTGCCCGGGCGGTGGCGCCGTCGGCGACGTCGCGGAGGCCGTCAAGCCCGTGGTGGCCCCGGCGCCGTGCTCCGGTGCCACCAACGGTGCGTGCGACGCTGCTGACGCGGACGTGCTCTCCGCGAGGCCCGTGGCGGTCGTGGCGCCCTGGAGCGGTGCCGCGGGGGCCGAACCAGACCCGTCCACTCCGTCCAGCCCCAGCCTGGAGCACGCCGCGCTCGCCCCCAGCGCGCCCAGCGCCTCCAGCTAGCCAAGGTAGTCCTTGTTGTGCCGGCCAGCAGGAGGGCGCCACAAGCGTGCTGCAAAAAGTCCGTCTCAAACTGTTGCACATTCCTCGAATACGCTTTTTAAGGCGCTGTCTTGCTGGTTGGTGCAGCGGCAAGTTGGACAGTCATGCAGATCTCAGTTGGGTTTATTTATTTGCCTAGTTAAGTACCTCCAAACAACTAAGTATAGTTACTTTTTATTTTTATTTTGCTGTGTGTTGCCACCCAACACATTCCACCAGTGTGAGAAATGATCTCAAAAGGGTTCTTCTGAAAAAGGGCGCTCCCCCAACAGGACTCTGGACTGTTCTCCAGAGGACTGATTGTGGCAGCTGTGGTGGTGCCTCCACCACTACTGCATAGTCTCAAAATATCACTATCACGTCATATCTGGGTTGTTTTAGTCATTAAATCGTCGTCAAACCTGGTGGAGTAATGACGTTAGAATAAATTTTGGTGTCCACTAAATTTAGCGAAGTCAGTTCGTGTGTGTGTATGTGTGCTTGAGCGAGCGCGCGTGTATGTAGTTCGTGTATGTGTGTGTGTGTGTGACAGTGCTTATGTGATTGGGTGAATCTCATGGTCTGAAATCAGATTCTGATGTTTATTCCAAAGCACATTGATGTATCTTTTAACTCCATTATTTCTTTTCTTAAGTTCAACTTTGTTCTCAGCTTTTTCACACTGTCTGTATGGGAGTACAATCTGTATTTTTTGAATTTTTGAATGTGATAATAGGAATAAGTCTTTTGTCAGCCCTATTGTGAGTGTTGAAAAGTATTATAAGAGTCCTTGTTCTACAGTAAATGTTCTGGTTTCTACATGCCACCGTGACACCGTTAAAGCGGATAGTTGGAAGAAAATACAATATCTTGTGTGTTATTTTATATTTTTTCAGAACAGCATTGAAGCCACTTTTACCACAGTATGAAAAATAACTCTCTTTGAAACATGAAAATTATTACACTTTTTTTATCATGAGTATTTACCAATAGTGCTATTCTGAAAATCCAGTACAAAGAGGCTCACCACAATTCAAGTCTTATATAAAAATATAATAAAAATATAGTCTAAAGAAGATTTTCTATCAACCAATTCATTTACCAGAATTAAGTGTGAATGCTGCTTAAACCTGAGTCACAAAAACAGTGGTTGTAACAGAAATGTAACTTTATAACAAATTAAATCCTTATTACAGTATTTACTCAGCTAAGGAAGGACTGAGTAGTTGATAAGAAATACTTAAAGGCATGAACTGAACAATTCTTTGGTAAAAGAGTTACCTCTAATACAAATAAATTTGAAAAGTTGACAAATGGTTGTACTTTGAGCTGGGAGAAAGTTACCTAGAACTGACCAGCACCATGCTCACAATTAAAATATACAATAGTTATTTATTTTCATTGTCAATATCATTGTCATATGTACATCAATGTTAGTGTGAGTTTAACAGAAACCCTATTTACTCACACTACTCAGTCTTTGTGAAATTACCGTGTTCCAAGTTTCAGTTAACAGAGGGCAAACACATGTTTTCACCTCTTTTGAAGAAGAAGGGCCTACAAAACAGTTCATGATTCTGTGCATCAGTTTCAAAACATCATGTCAATATATCTTAGAGGCAAACAGGGCATATAAATCCAGTTTCATGGAAATCTTAAGGACATCCAATCTGACCAAAACTGAAGGGCCAATACATACTATGCAAAAATTATAAGGTAGAAAAAATTAACTTCAAATAATGGAGAGAAAGAAAACACTTCAAAATAAATTACAGCATCATCAAGAATGAAAAAATAAAACAACAACAACTAAACAAATAAAGAGAAAGAAAGGAAGAAAGAAGAACCAACTTCAAGATGGCACCAGAATACTGACAATCTGATGACGGCAGCCAACACTAATTTAGCTTCCTTTTCTTTCCTGCAAATAAGAAACAGATAAAGTATTTTAAGTACAGGTGTGGATGTAGATATTTTGAAGAAAATGGATAGTAAAACATGTTCCATACCTGTCTTTTTTCCTTTTCCTTTCCCTTTGCCTTTGCCCTTTCCTGATGGAGCTTTGCGTTTTTTGCCCTGAGAAACTCCTGAGCCCCCCTCTAACACACTGATATCTCCAAATCGAGTCAAATCATCACCCAGGGTACCCAAAGTTGCGAGGCGGCGAGACTTATGCTTCTGTTCTTTGGTGACAGGCAGGCGAGTGAAGTATGTTTCTTCATACCTAGAACACAAAATATACAAATGCATAAGTATTTGGCTGCAAGTTGTCATATCAGAAGAAAGTAGATATCGCAGTTTGATAGACTACAACTTACTCTTCTCTTTCCTTCTGCTGACGAGACAGCGCTGTCTGACCGGCTGAAACTTGACTTATTTCTGTGGGAGTGTCCATGTATTCTTCTCGCAGCTCCTGCATGACTGAGCTCTGTAAAGCTCGTTTCTTTGCACGCTCTAATTGCTTCTCTTGTCTTGTCAGTGCTGTTTCATCGCCATCTATTATAAAAAAACATTGATAATTGTAGATGATGTTGTCACTGCTAAAACAGTTCTCGTCTGCATCTCAGTGTTACTCACCATAATGAACAGCTGCTAATTTGGGAGGAACATAGACGCCAGGCTTCTTGTCTTTGCTCTCAGACTTTCCATCTGAGTCTTCATCACTGTCATCCTCTTCATCAGAATTATCCAACTTGCTCGCAAAGTTGTCAGGATTTGCCCGGAATCGACTGGGATCATTTTCATCAGTTGACCCAGTTACAGCTACCTTAACGAGCTTGTCAATTTGATACTTTAATTTGGTATCAATCGGGCGAATTCGTTCAAGAACTGTCCTAATTTCCACTAACCGGTCTGGAAAAGAAGTAATCCTTAGATACTTTTGGTATCAACATAATTTGCTTTACAAAAAATACAATTATAAATTTTACCAATGGCAGGATCTCCTTCAATCTTGTGACCAGAAACTTTTCGTAAAACCACATATGTGATGTTGATGAGGTAGCTAAGGAGCATGTGATACTTCATTTCCAAAAAGCTCAATCCCTAGAAATATAAAGAACAAAATTTATGATCCACACAAAACAAATGAAAAATATGTTGGAAAGGAAAAAATGAGGTGGTTATCTTACCGAATCAGTAGACATCTCTCCTTTCTTTACTTTACTCAACATGTTATCCACCAGCTTCGTCACCGATTCAACACTCTGATTCATTTCTGCTAACAAGCGCATGGCCTGTGGCAAGTCTTTCTCCAGCATTTCCTCCAAGGCCGCTGCCTATAATACAGAAGGTAAAATTTTAAACACACAAGAAAAAAAGCAAGAAATTAATTGCATCACTGAATTCAATACAGATTTTCAGAAGAAAATTAATAAAATGATTCTTCAGAAGGAAAGATAGCACAATAAAACAGTGTCCGAATTTTCCGAATTTAAACCGTCGCTTTGAAACCTTCGCGAAAGACATGAAGAAAGACGACAAAATTGGAAACAGAACAGAGGTTGGAAGCACAAAGCAGCAGACCACGGAGCAGACGGGCGCGTGTTGCCGCCACAGTTTTCACGCGAAACCGATCCACTTCCACTCACCTGCACCATTTTGAATGGAGAAATGAACAGGGGCCTTGAGAACTATTTCGGAGGGTTGAGAATGATGAGTCCGTCGACACAATTCGAGGATTTATTGAGAAAATCAGAATTGTAAACACAGACGATGCACGCGCAGCACAAGCAGCCGCTGCGACCACTTCGACTCGTGCATCAATCTAGAAGGCGCAGCTCTAGTCTCGTGCAAGGCAAGTGGCCGGCAGAGGATGAAAAATTGAAATTGATGTTTTGCCTCAAACATAAACATTTTTAATTTTTCGTGTGGACAGTCTGTCGCTGTGTTGTATTGTTTGACAATATTTCCTTGAGTTTGCCGTACGAAACACAATGCCACTTCCAGCTGCTCTTGCAGCGAGGTTGGCAAAGAGAGGTCTTGTCAAACCTGCTGAAATTGAAGGTAAGAATGTCAATAGAGGAGGTTAAGCTGTTTTTACTTGTTCACTGGTACCTATTAATTAATTTTGTCACGCAGCAAGAGAACATGATAAAAGAGAAGTGGAAGAAGTTATTGCAGAAGATTATGATGAAAGGGAAAGAGACAGATTGGGTGGTATGGATGACGACGACCCAATGAATGTCGCAAACCTCGAGAAGAAATTTCAGGTTAGCACAACTATTTGCTTTCAATGCAATTCGCTCCATTGACAACCAGCTAATGAATGGTCTTTTCTTATTTTTAGGGTCATCCAGGGTGTCCCAATAAATACAACATATATCATGACTGCACCAAGGCGTGTGCCGAACTTTGGGGTGGAGGAAAGCTCGAACCTGATGCTCGCTATTTAAGGAAAAAAAATAAAATGTTAAAGAAGTATCCACTGCCAGAAAGCTGGAAAGAAGTTTATGATCCTGGCCTGTAAGTCGTGTGTTTTGGGTGGAGCTCTGCAAGAATGAGAGACCATGTTTGTTTGTCTTCATTTAACATCACTTTTGTTTTTATCTTTCTACAGGGGGCGGCACTACTACTGGGATACAGACACAGATGTGGTTTCCTGGTTGCCTCCCACACATCCCAAGGCTTCTGTATCCATGTGTGCAGCTAATCTTCGTGAAGAAAGACACTTAGCTGAAGGAGATCATGATGATGAAGATGAGGATGACGAGGAAGAGGAAGAAGAAAAGGATGATGCGCCTGAAGAAATGGATGTAAGATATTTTCTTTATTTTTCCCTTTTTTAATTTTTTGCCTATTTTCGATGGAGCATTTTAAGACCTACCCAGTACATTTCTTCACTTGTTTATGCACAGTGAATGTCTTATTTTATTCCTGAAATTTTTTTTCATCTGTTGTTTTTTGCAGGAGGACAAAGATCAAGAGGATGCCATTGCTGAACGAAAGCGCAGGCAAAGGGAGGAGCGTGAGCGCATTAGAGCCCGTGGCCGTACGAAGGTTCGGGACAATGACTTAGATCCCATGGATCCTGCATCATACTCTGATATTCCCAGGTTTGTTCCAATGCTGCATCTCTATGCTCTTGATTTGTATTGTCTCAGTTGTTTCTTAGTACTTTTTTCTGTTGGCATCAGGGGTACATGGTCTACTGGTTTGCCTCAGCAAAATGAGGCTAAGACAGGAGTGGACATGACAGCATCAGGACCTCTGTACCAAATGCGTCCCTATCCTAGTCCTGGTGCAGTTCTTAGAGCTAACAAGAAGCCGCCTCCCAAAACTGACAAGAAAGTCTCTTTGCCTGAGCTTCCATAATTGATAAAAGGACCCTGTCTCACAGCTTAAGAGTTAATTTGACCTCAGTTTAACACTGTGACTCAAGTGTTAAAAAAAGTGTTTTTGCATTTGATTGTATGATATGAACTTTGTAAATAAATTAAAAAATTTGAACAGCAGGTTGGAAACAACTTTTTAATTGAGGAGGAATTAAACTCTAAACATAAATTACACATGATTCCATCTTGATTAAAAATTTAACTCTTTTGAATCTTAACAAATGAAGCAGTGTTGGAGAAATATCTTGCATTAGCCTCACTGACATTTTTCTCAGCTGCTTGAGGGTTAACAATTTCCAGACCCTGCAAAAAGAAAAAAAAGAATTTAGATTGAAAATTAAATTATCAGTAGTACACATAGAAACAAAAACCGAATTTAAAAGATTACCTGTAATGGTGTGAAAGCAACACTGGAAGCTGTTCCTGAAACTTGCTTCTTGACTGTGGTGCTACCACCCCAAACTTGCTGTTGTTTCTGAAGATTCTTTTGAAGTGTTTTCGAAATTCGCACTTTGGTTTTCTCATCAACCTGAGGTAGCCTGATCCGGCCAGTACCAGTTTTGCCAATAGTACCTCGATTGTAACCAAGATCTTCTTGATAGGCATCGTCATCAATCTAGAGGAAGTAAATCAAGGAATAATGAGTTAGACAGAAGCACTTCAAAGTTACAGAATGACAAACAGAAGTAAACTTACATCAGCAAAGTTCAGTCTGTTTTGTTGTTTCCTTAGTTCTGTGACAGCATACCGCTCTTTCATCTTACGCACTCTTTTTCCACCACGCCGCTTACGGGATGGATCGATTGGCTTTGGCAATGGCTTTACAAACTTGACTGGCGGTGGTTCCTTCAAACATCACAAAACAGAAAAGAGAAAAGTCAACATCACTAAGACTGGCACTGGCAAACAGTGAAAGAGATAAAGTTGCATGAAATGAAAAACGTACTGTTAATTTGTCCAACTTCTTTTCAATTTCTTCTCGGAACATCTGACCAATGTGTGCATCAGCACTTTCATGGGATGCATCCACTCTGGCAGCCAAAATTCCTTTGCCTGCAACTAGCCTTGCCATCTTCCTTCGGAGATCCTAATGGAAACGAACAGAGTGTTTGTAAATACAATGTAAAAGGAAAAGTATTAATTTAAAAAAAAAAAAAGAACTTACTGGAGGAGCATCTTGCACTATTTCTGAATAATATATAAAACCAGTGTGTGGAAGGGTAGTGACCTGTGAGAATCCTGACAGGGTTTTCTTTTGCGATCCAAGGAGTAGGACATTGCAAGCTGGCATTTTGGAAAGATTTGTGAGACCACCAGCAACACCTAAAATTTCAAGATTATTTTTTTATTTTTTAAAATTATGATGATAAAACTGAAATTCAGATTAATTGGCATATTCTAATCCAACATACCCATCATTTTAGCTGCAGTAGAGGCTCCAACAATGTGAGACAGATTTGGTGCAATAAATGCCATTCTACTCTCAACATATTCATAAATGCGAAGTTTGTAATTGTTTAAGTTAATGGCCATTTCACATGCTTCTACTATGCTTTCCCATTCAGATGGTGTCAATGCTTGCCTGTGTAGGAGAGTCATATTGCTTCATTAACATCAGAGGAACATCAAGCTAAAATTTAGATTAAAAAATATAGTGTGCTAACCCTTGAGTGGTAGATGCAGTTACAGAGACAACCATGATGGTGGCTTGTGTAAGGAATTGTTGCAGTTGTTCATTGTTCTTTGCATTGTCCAGATCATTTCCCAGTTCCTTGACCGTCATGACATATTCCAATGGTCCAACAACCAAGGATTCCAACTCAGGGAATCGTTTAGAATACTTTTCTCGAGTGAATCTGTGAATAACACCTGACAAGATGAGATAACTAGGTTAGACAGTTAGGCATATGGGAAACATTATTTTCAACAGACAATTGATAGAACCACAATCACCTATTTCATTATCAACCTCAACTGCAATATTATTTGCTTCCACAATAAGCAAATATTCGGGATCTTGCTCCACAGGCCCAACAATATCTTCGGGTTTTCGTACTTTATATCTATAAGTTTCTATCTGTTCAAGTATTGACTTCAGCTGATCGGAGTCATGTAATTTAGCAAGCTGACGGATGTTGGTCACTTTCACCTCTGGAAAAGAGTTATGAAAATACGAGTTAGATAGTAAACTTCAATTAGAAATCCGTATAAACCTGCAAAGTCAGAATTATTTTGGACAAAGAAGAGGCCTGTCACAGAATACTCACCGTCCTCAATTTTTGAAGGGATAGCAGGCCTTACAAAGACATGCTCATCATCTCAGCGTCTTCAGCATCCTCAGTGTCCATGACTTCCTCCTCTGGAGCCTCATTTTCTTCCAAATCTGCCAAAAGCTCATCTGCCAAAGACATGTTGACAGTTCACGGTCCACTCTGCAACAAATAGAAAATTTCATGATATAGCTTGTCATACGAAACAAGGTGACTGAAGAATAAACACGTAGAAATGTGGAAGCCAAGGGAAAGAAATGTTATCAGTTTTAACTATTTAACTGTTCAAGACATATAGCCTATCATTCAACCCTAACCTATACTTCGATACAATCAAAAAGTAGCAACCAATATCAAAATTAAGGAATGAAAAATCGAAGATGAACGTGATTCAATCGAGTGATTACGCCAAAGAACACCTACCAGGTCAACCGTTAAAACACAAAACTCTGCGAATCGTTCCGAATGCGAATCACCCGCTTGCGAACCAAACAAACATAAACAAGACACGCCTTGTCCTTCTTGGATAACGACTTGGTCCGGGAGTCCGTTCGCTCCGAGAAGGCGCCGCCGGAACTCGGGTCCGTTTTGCGGGTGAAAGGCAAAGCAGTGCCATCAGCAAACCAACACAGTGGTTGACACTTCGTGATGTGTGTTGTGTATTTTATCCCGCACCCGTGTGCAGGAGGAGATAACTAAATCGATCCGCGCGGGATACTTTCTAAAATCCGTGGTGAACCCTTCTTCCTGCGAGGCCATGGCGTCCTTGTTCAACTACGGGGCGTACTTGTCGGGGGCTGGCGACGGCCTTGAGTCCGCAGCAGACGATGTTGTCGAGGAGAACTACACTTGCTCCATGTGCCTCAACAGCTACCAAAAAGGTGAGTTTTTCTGAATGAGACTTTTGTCGCCCCGCTGCAGGGGCTGCTGCCCGATGCTTGCCCGCGACTGTCGCAGCCTGGGGTCCTGGAGGAGGGCGCCTGGTCATGTGTCATGAAAATGGCGTCTCCAGGGGGTTGGGGTTGGGGGTGGCCGCCTTTGGCTGCTGGCCGCGCCACCCCCTCCCCACCCCATGACAACTCCCAAACAAGCCCATGACGGGATGTTGGGGATGGCTGCTGCGTCGCGTCGTCGCGTCGGCCGAGTGCCGAGCGTCAAGTGCCTTAATGGCCATGCGTAATCCTCGTCTCCTCGAACTAATTGGCTCTCCTTTTTCTCGTTTTCCTCCGCCCGACGAGGAGCCTGGCGGCCTGGCGGCCTTTGTCAGTGGGCGGCGGGGAACGGGAACGTCAGTGGGTTTATGTATTTGAGCAGCCGATGTGCGCTCGCGAGCGAGGCGAGGTTGTTCACATCCGCCAGTGTGTGACACCGTTGGGCAGCACGCAACTCGGCGTGCGATGCGAGCCAACCCCGCACGCCAAGCACGCGTCCACCCCTTTGCCTCCGCCTCCGCCACGCGTGCATGACGGGCGGCTCGGCTCGGCTCCCTTCCCTCGATGCCTCATGGCGCGGCCGCGCTCCGCCGCTCCGCTCGTCAATATCGATTCGTCGAGGGGTGCGCGGCGTGGCGCGGCGCGGCGCCCTGCCGTTGGGGAGGGGGTTGCGCGGGTTGCGCGCCACCAGCTGTGATACGTGGAGCCGTCGCGTGCCATTTGAAATGCTAATTTGCCTCCAGTTTCTTATTCACGCCACGCAGGATCGCGCGGTGGCGGTGGCATCGCAAGCGCCTACCTCCACGACGACGCGGCGAGCGCTCGCCCGGTTCGGGTGTGCGTGCCGAGCCGCCGAGCCGCCGAGCGAGAGGTACCCAGGTAGCCGCCGCATGCGCGGGGCCGCGGTAGCCGCGCGGACGAGGGGGGGGGGGGCTCGGTACTTCATGCACTCGCGATGGTACCCGTTAATACGCCGCCGGCCTGCTTCCTCCTCGTCGCTGCCGGCGAGAGCGGCCGCGTACGTCTACGTACGTCCAGCTCGAAAGCGGGTGTGGTTTTCGGGTCGCGCGCTGCACTCTGAGGCGTCGCTCTGTCTCTCTCGCACCCATACGGAACGCGCCATGAGTGCGAGAGAGACTGACCGCTGCTTTCGCCGTTATCAGCAGCGTGGCTTTTCGGAGGGCTTTGGCGGGCCTGATGACGTGCAGCCTGCCGACCGATTCCGAGGGTCGCTCTGTCTCTCTCGCACTCTTGGGGCGTTCCGTGCGGGCGCGACGAAAAAGACCCTCGGGATGAGTGAGGGTCCTTCGGCCTGGGCGCGGCGCTCCTCGTCGGCAAGCGAGTCCTAGCTGGAGTGTCCCCTCCACTGTGAGGGTGACACAACGCTCGCTCCGCGGCGACTCGGTGTCAAGGTGGAGCAGTGCGGTGCGGGCTGCGTCGCCGGCCCCTCCGCTCGGACGCAGCCACAGGGAGCCGGCGCATGGGCCTAACTCAACTCTGGCTTCCCCTCCCCCTCCCCTCCCCTCCCCTCCCCCTCCCCCTCCCCTCCCCCTCCCCTCCCCTCCCCCTTCCCCTCGCCGCTGTGCACCTGAAAGTAATGCCTGGCCCGCCGGCCCGGCCTCCAGGTTTGCCTCCAGGTTTGCCTCCAGGTTTGCCTCCAGGTTTGCCTCCAGGTTTGCCTCCAGGTTTGCCTCCAGGTTTGCCTCCAGGTTTGCCTCCAGGTTTGCCTCCAGGTTTGCCTCCAGGTTTGCCTCCAGGTTTGCCTCCAGGTTTGCCTCCAGGCCTCCAGGCGGCGGCAGGCAGCAGGGTGGCCTCGTCGCCTTGGCCGGCACTGCGCGCTGCGCGCTCGCATCGGTGCGGGAAAGAAGCCAATAAAATTTGGACGTCCTCCCCCTGCTTCCCTTGTCTGCCTGCCTGGCTCGCTGCCTGGGGAGTGCGAGTGAGACGGAGTGAGTGTGAGTCGCCTTGACGTCGTCGCGGTCCGCGAATGCGCGAAGCGCGAACCCCACAGTGTGGGGAGGAGGCCGGGCGACTAACCGCAAGCAAACACACTGTAGTTTTTCTTTACCTCTTCTCGGCTTCCGCCGGGTTCCCGCGGCGTTTCCGCTTTTGCCGCTGACAGTGTGCTGTCTCCCTCGCACTCGTTGGGCGCCCCCTGTGGGTGGGAGAGAGACAGCGAGTGTTGGGAATCAGTCTGCGGAGCGGCGGGTCGGCCTGGCCGGGTCGCTGACGCCAGGGCAGTCGAGCGATGCCCTGTCTCTGTCGCACTCGCGGGACCCTCCACGAGGGTGCGAGAGAGACAGAGCGACAGGCGGCCTCCACTTGACTTCCTGATAACCCCAACCCCGGCGTGCCCCGGCGTGCCCGTCGGCATCGCTGCCGTCATATCTGCGAACACCGAGCGGACCGGATCGGTCGGGCGGGTCGGTTCGCAATGCAGTGCACCACCGCCAGCTGATGCCGTACACGTCTCTCCGTCTCCGTCGCACGCGTGGCGCGTGGCGCGGCCGCGGGCCCGCAGCGGTGCGAGAGAGACGGAGCGACAGAGCAGTGTGCTGACCCCCGCGATGCCAGGCCGTCTGCGAGGTCTGCGTCAGCCGGCGGCAGCGCGACGCGACGGGGTCAGCAGCACCAGCCAAGTGCCGCTCGTCGCTCTGTCTCTCTCGCACCCGCGGGGCGTCCCGTCGAGGTGCGAGAGAGACAGAGCGACGACTCTCGGCATCCCGGCGGGGCACAGCGGGGCGGCGACGCGGCGTGCCGCTCGTTGTGCTCGTTGCCTGGCCCGCGGAGTCCGCGGCGAGGAGGCCGCGATAAGCAGCCGGCCGCCGCCCCCGCGCCACTCCACTGCAAGGCCCTGTGGGGCACTACACCGCAGTAATGCCGCACTTACGCTTCGTTCAAATTCTGCCGCCGGTGTCGAAGGAGTTTACACAGCGGCGGCAAGTTAAAGACGCGTGCCAGCCCCTGTGGTCGGGCGGGTAGGCAATCCCGCGCGGCACCGGCGCGAGAGGTTGCCTACCTCGCCGTTGGCAGGCGTTCGGCGCACAGTGGGCCAGAAGACCGCTGGAGGCGGCCAAAACTCTAGACGCGTTTTGAGCTCCAGAGTCGCTAAATGGGACTCGAACCGAACGTGTGACCCCACCAATGGATTGCTCTCCGAACGAGGAATCCATTGGTGGGGTCACACGCTCGGTTCGAGTGCTGTTTAGCGACTCTGGAGCTCAAATCGCGTCTAGAGTTTTGGCCGCCTCCACCGGTCTTCTGGCCCACTGTGCGGCGCTGTCCCTTGAAGCCGTGGCACGCCGTGGCGCGACCTTGAGCCGCCCCCTGTGGTCGACCGGGCCCTGGACCAGGCTGTCTCCAGGCTGCTCCTCTGGGCGTCCCGGGCACTCCGGGCATTCCGGCTCCGGGCACTTTGGGGGCACTCGGGTCCCCGCGCGCATCCGGACCGGTCTTTCGTGCTTGCGCGCTGTCCCGAAGCCGGTGGAGGCCTGGCGACGAAACCGCCTCGGGTCGGGACTGACCAGCTGTCTCCAGCCCTTGGCAATAACCGGCACTGGGAGGCTACGCACTTTGTTGGTCTTCGTCTCGCGCGATCGTGTCAGCCTGTAGTCGTTTGTCGTCGCTTCTGTCTCGTCTTCTGCAGTGAGGAGCGCGTAGCATGTGTCGGAGCGCAGGGGACGAATCCGGTTGACTGCAGCATGTCCGTGGTCAGCCCTTGGTCAATAACCCCGGGGCGGGATGTACGCCTTCACCTGCTGCTCTGCGTGTCGTCTTTGTGGTCTTCTGCCTGGTCCCTGCTGCGGCCTGTCTCGTTTTGCAGTGGCGGAGCGGCCGTAACGCCATGGTGGTAGCCTATCGGAATGGAGGCGGGTTCGCTCGACGCGCGCCTCGGGTGTCCGTTGGGTTGCCTGCCCCGCCGGCGCTTGGCTTGTCTTGGCGACGGTAACCCCATCCTTGCGGAACCGGGGGCGGGGGCGGGGGCGGGGCGCGCGCACAGGCGACGAGCCCGTGCAGCGCGAAGCAGCGACAAAGCAGCGCGTAGCCATGCCGTGGTGCAGTCCACCGCGCGCGAGCCCGGGATTCGGGTTTCGCGCGACCACTAGTGGACACGTTCTGTGGCTGCGCTCTGCTCGCTCTGGACTGACTGGCCACTGCAAACTGATTCCGAGAGTCGTTTTGGTCGCCCTCTCCCGCACCTGTACTGGCCGCCACATGAGTGCGAGA